CATTGCAGTACAGAAAATGACTTGCGCCTTCACACTCTAGGAATTAGTGTTTTTTTTTTTTTTTCGAGAAATACACAAAGCTTGGGCAGCACATGACAAGAAAATTGTCATGGAAATTTCTTGAAGAGACCTCAGATAAATGATTTTGTGTGCCACATTGTCTAAATATGTCAAAAGCTGGTGAAGGCTTTCAAGCCGCAACGTTCATTTGTTCTTTCTTATTTAAAAAGTTAGGTTTTTTGTTAGTGTGTAGATAACTAGTTCTATTACATTGATTAACGTTTAACCTCACCAGGACCGCACGCCGAGCGATATTCACCTGGTGACATAAAGTGTCACCATTCGGATGAGGAACACTCGAGCGCGAGTCCCAAAACCTCCGTTCTTCCGTTAGTTTATATTAGGGCCCCCAACGACAGCCGGAGTGAGGCTCTATAATCACCAAAAATTGCGTCCCATACTGGGACAGAGGTGAATTTTTTTCCTAATACATTTCTAGTTTAGTTTGATATCTTTTAATGGTTTGTTAGTTGCGTATCCTGGCTGTTGTGTGGTTTTTCTAGGCAAATTTACGTCCAGTAGTTGGCCATTGCCTTTGGACGGTCGGCTTTCTTGATACCACTGTCGAAACAACGCAAGGAGCATGGCCCGCAGCTGGGATCGAACCAGGCATCCCGGCATTACGAAGCGTTCGCATAGACTTAGCCCCAGAGCCGATCTTTTCATGACAGCTGCAAAATTGAAGGTCCAAAGTTAATTTCAGTCATAGAAAGAAATTTAAATTATACTGAAAAACGACTAATTAAAAAAGTATATATCTTGTGGTGATGCAGAAATAATATGTGATGAAAAATGGTTTAACCTTTAAGAATATTAAGATGGACATTCGTAGAAGACGAAAATAGGAAAAAGGATTTAATACTGAATAATGATGAGAGATTCTGTCAGTTTGGGTCCGGATTTTTGCTGTAGGAAACGCGTAGATTGCATAATAAAGATAATGGTGATGACACAATCAATGAAAGGTAAACACCGCCAGAACTTCGTTATCATTCGGTTCTGGCATTTTAGAGATGTGTGGTGAGGACAGTGCTTTTTTTATTTCGAATCCTGCTGCTGCCGCCGGTTATTATTTTTAATATTTTCTCTCCTTTCCATTCGTTCTTTAAGTTTTTCATACCTCCTTCTCTACTCTCTTGTCTTCCTCGTTCAATATTTGTCTTCCTCGTTTTTTCCTCATTCCTATTTTTCTTTCTCTTCATGATCTCCGTCTTTTTCTTAGACGTCATTTAATTCTTCTTCCGTCTCCCATGTTATTCTTCGTCTTCCTCTTCCTCCTGTTCTTCGTTATATTTCTCTGTATCTGGTCCCCTCTACTTATCGTGTCACCTCTTGTTTTCGTCTATCTCATTCTTCCCATTATTTAGTCTTCTTACACTTCTTCTTGGAACTAAGAGTACAATGTTCGTTCGTTCGTTAGTTCGTTCGTTCGATTGCAATTAGACACTTTTAACCTTGACAATATAGCTAGCCTCGTTCTAAGAATATCGGTTATAAATATGGCTACAAATTTGTTTACTATTTCATTGCGTAGTGTTTCCTGTTAGTATTCTATGTCTTCTGTGTCTCTCTGACCGGCCATGCATTGTGCTAGCTTTGATCTGATCAGGTGATGTGTTCCTGTTTGTGCCATCCGTTGGTGTTGTTACTGTGTTAATTAAGCTGTCTTCTGCGCTATTCAGGGTCATATCAGCGTACCAGTTAGTTCTTCGTGTTATAGTAACTGTTATCGCGTTTGTTCAGCCATTGGGTCCTCAACTGCTATCGCGAGCTTGACTAGGCTTCGTCAACATTGTCGGTATGTCGTCTTTGTCTATGTCGCCTTACAAGAAGTTCCAGGCCGTCATTCTGTTGCCTGCTGTAAGTACGTTTTTTACCCCTCTGTACCAGGTGTATTCTTTATTCTTTTGTACTTTCGTTGGATAATCGCCGCTTTATTTAATCTGTACGCTGCCAGTGGTCTTTGCTGCTGGTGCCATTTATCTCAAGCCTGTTTGGGTCGTTGCACCAGCTCTTTCTTTTTTTCTTTGGTATAGCTGTTCTGACTCTCTCACCTGGTCTTGGCTTTGGTTTTTGACTTTGAGTTTCTTTCGTTTTTCTGTCTGGTCTGGGAAATCCCATATCCGCGATGCTGTATATTCTTCGTTGATCTTGTTGGTTCTTTATGTCATCGAGTAGAGCCACTAATTCTGATTTAAAATCTTCTGTTAAAGTTACCTCTTTCGCCATTTGAATTTGAATTTCTAACGTGATCTTCGGATTTCTCTCATCTCCTCCATCTCCTTGCGTATCTTTGCACGTTGTGTGTTCTCGGCTTCTTTATCTTCTCGATGGTTTTCATTTCGCTTTCCAGGTTCGTTATCAGACCCTGATGTTGTGCTGTATCCAGAGATAGACCGCTCTTTAGTGATTAGTGTCTCCTTTGCACTTTTCTTTAGTTTTAGTTTTCCTGTATGGCTCTTTTCATCGTCTCCCTAAAGTGTTGTAACTATCAGCGGACCAGACATCTGGCCCCATGCGGACCGGACAGTTAACACACTTCCTATTTTAATTGGGCTTTCGGAAAGTTCTCATCCTTTTGGACCAGTGGACATTCTCTAAAAGGGTGACGCTCTACACAGTGCCTGCAAATATCCTGTTTGCTGGGGGAAGTTGATCTGGAACACTTTAATACAAGTGGTATGTTCTGCTCAAGTCTCTGTATCCTCAGTTCTATTATCACTCTGTCTGGTATGTCATCACCTTTACAGGTCACTACAACCACCGTGGTTGTGTCTTGAACCAAGTTGTTCAACCTTGATGACTGACTGACTAACTGACTTTCTACCCCAACAGGACATCACACAAACGATAAACACCCGATGACACAAAGTGCCACCATGTGGATGAGGATCGCCGTGGAGAGGTCCCAGAAACCGCGTTCAGACAATTGGCCATATTGATGGCCTGTCTATATTGCGGCCCCTGACAAAAGCCAGGGTGGGGCTTCAAATAACAAAAAATTTCGTCATGAAAAGGACGAAACTTTAATATTTATTTTAACCTTGATGAATTTTAGTGCTGGATTTTCGTGAGTGTGAGTGTGTAAGATTGTGTACACATGATGCTTGTGTATGCATTATTCTATAATGTAAATTTCTTTATTTTTTCCATAACATGCATTATTGATAACAGGCATTGGTTCTTTGAAAAATGAGTGCTTAGAAGGGCCCCGAATGTCAGACGGGCCTGCGTGCCCAATTTGTAACCCTTTGAAAATAAAGTTTGTTCGTTCGTTCGTTCTTCAGTTGGTCTTGTATTTCCTGGTCGGTTGACTGCAGCTTGATGCTTTTGACAACCCATCGTCGGACACTGTGAAACTTGGAAGCGATCCCCACCATCTCATGCGGCAGCTGTAACTCTTCCCTGCTGTTTTCCTTTATGTCGTGGATTATCTTGCTTGTTTTCATCGTCTTGTTGAGTGTGGCGACGACTCCGCCCCTGGTTTACAATAACTTGACCACAGATAGCTTTTCCTGCAGGTCCTCCAGAATCTTCAGCATTGCCAGCATTGTTAGTGCAGTAACTGACGCTTGTCCGACTCTGGTTTGTTGGATCATAATGGTTTCCGGGAGTGCGGTGTCGTCAGCTGATGTTATCTGCACCAGGCTTCTGGCTTTGGGTATCTGGCTGGTTGGTTGATTCCGTTCTGTTGTAGTGACTTCCGCTTGATTGGCATGCTTTGGTAGATTACCCTTTATCACTAGCGCCTTGATCTGTTTATCTGCTACAGTTCGTATTGTATGTTTTTTTTTTTCCTTCGGTATTGACAGTGTCCTTCGTTGCTGCAAATTTGGTCCCTCTCGTATTGGTGGCACTGGTGGTTTGGTTTCCTGTCGTCTGGTCATCTGCCTTATATGAGGCTCTACGCCTGGTAGATTTCTTTACCTTCCACACTTGTCTCTCTATGCTTTTATACAGTAATCTGATATCTTGGCAGAATAGTACAGTATAGTAGAGAACCTTCCACCGTAATGAGTATTCAGGAAAACTGTCCTGTCTACGCCTTACCTGATCGCTATAGCTTGACTTGGTATCTGATCAGGTACTGGTTTCTGCAGAAGTGAATTTATGAAATGAACTATTTTTTGTTAGCATTTTTCACTGTTGAAAATAACATCCGTCATCTTGACGCCTAGAGCACAGGGGACTGACTGACTTTCTACCCCACCAGGACATCACACAAGCGATAAACACCCGATGACACAATGTGCCACCATGTGGGTGAGGATCACCGTGGAGAGGTCCCAGAAGCCATGTTCAGCCCCTAGACCATATTTATGGCCGGGCTATATTGCGGCCCCTGGCAAGAGCCAGAGTAGAGCTTCAAATAACAAACAATTTCATCCTAAAAATGACGGGAAGTGTAACCAAAAAAATATTGAATTGGAAGTTATAGTCAGAGGGCGGACAGGCAACATTGCACTACAGATACTTCAGCGCTGGGAAATAATCGATACTTTTTTTTTTCAAGAAATGTTGGGACATAATAGTAAAATTTTTAAAAACTAAAAATCTAAACTAAAATCTCCTACTTCTCCTTCTTCTTTTTCTTCTTTTTCCCCCTTTCTTCCTTTCTTTTCTTTTTCCATTTCTTTCTCTGCTGCTGCTTTTTCTTGTACGTAGTTTGCTAGTTTACAGCTAGTCTACGATATATGTGTCATTAGGTTTAACGCATCCGATTTTAGGAAACCATTAACTCATCGTCTTTTTTCGACATTCTTTTTTCACGAATAATGTGTCTATCCCCAACCCCTTCTGACCCATAAATAGGGTCATTGAACCCACGAGATGAGGCTGCTTCCACTCGTTAGAAAACTAATATACTATATTTGGCAATCATTGCAGACATACGACTGGTGTGTCGAGGCAAGGCCTTCGTTCACTGGACGGATCAAACAATGAGGGGTCCAGGAGAGATCCGATTCAAGGAGATACGCCACCACTCGGCAACAGAAGAATACTTCGACATCTCCAAGTCCCTACTAAGTCACGGTAAGAACCATTGTGTCTGTTTGGTAATTTTGAGTCCTGTTTCACAATGCTTCGTCTAATATAAATATAAATTTGTATATGTTTATATGTTTTTATTTTTTCTCCCATTCCAACATTTCTACATCTTCATTTTTGAAAAATAAACTATAGTTTGCCGTCATTAAGCATAAGTTTATACTATTGAAGTATTTGTTTTTATAGTATCATATTTTTGTCGGAAAAGGCTTATCCTGAAACAACATGCCCGAAAAGTCGGATATGTTGGCCGAAAGGCGCAAAAATGGCAGCGTTGATGTAAACTGTTACGTCACAATTACGCCATTCGGGAGAACGATAAAAAAAAAAAATATGTTCGTGTTAATTTAAATTATTGTTGACGACTTTTATGGAAATTTTTGCTTCTTTTTTGTGTGTATTCAATTTTCCAGGGCTTTCCCGTTGTTTTTTGTTTTTAGTTATTCTACTTATCGGCTTCATAGCAGTCACCCCCAAATAACAGCTAGTGAATACTTCAACATTTGCAAGCAGCTCCTAATTTTGGGTTAGGCGCAGTTTTGTATGAGCGGGATTTACAAGTCTATTGCAAGTGTATTATTTTGTCAAGTGCAGCCGTGATAATCGTCTTCTCCTGCTCCCCTTCGCACCGTAATATCTACTCAAGAAATCAAATTCTCTGGTTAAATGATCAGTTGCAAATTCATATGAAACCCCTTTGCAACGTTTTCATTCATTTTAGTGACTATAAACCTAGATAACTCTCTACTTCTTGCAGTTATGTCACATCTGGCGTCTTTTCGGTTTATCAAATGATGCTCTTTTCATTTAAATCTCCATTTTAGTTCCATGCGTTTACTTTCCACTTTTTGCTCTGGCATGATCTTCAGTACTTTCTTGTGTTGTTTTGGGGGTATCGGCAAGGTAGAATAATGCGTTCTGTGTGCTTCGTGTTGAAGACAGAAAAGCTTACATCAATATTCATAATTCCTTAAACTCGTCCAGTCACAGCTGTACCTTATCACCTCAGCAAAGGCGAAGATACCCAAAGTCTCGTTGAAAGTAACACTTTCAGGAAAATCCCGACACATAAGTGTATTATCTGTTATCTACCTTTCAACGTTCTGTACTGTAGGCGCTTTTCTTTTTTCTTTTCTAGACAAACAGCGATGATGGCGGCAGGATATTCAGGAAGTAAGAACATGCTAGGCATTACCGCTAATATTTCAAACCTAATTATGTAAAAATTAAATTAACGGGCTGTAGTAAACATATGCTCAAACGATTTCTTGAAGTAAAGTGTGATAAACATTGCATGATGAGAAAACTTTAAACACTTAGGCGATAGGTGAAGAGAATGTAAAGTGTATATTGTATATATTAGTATGTCTGTCGGCTCTGTGGCTAAGTCGATGCGAAAGCTTCGTAATGCCGGGGTACCGGGTTCGATCCCAGCTGCGGGCCATACGCCTTGCGTTGGTTTCAACAGTGGTATCAGGGAACCTACCGTCGAGAAAGCAATGGCAAACTACTAGACGTAAATTTGCCTAATGAAGCCACACAACAGCCAGGGGCTGATGGGGTTGGTTTTGCAACGCCCTGTAAAGGATACGCAACTAATCTTAGTGTGTCTACAAAACGACCACATATATTTGTTGTGATTAATGTTATTATTTTGTTTTAATTGTCTCGTTTCTTCTGAGAATGTACTCTAGATAGGCACTTATGGGTAGCTTTAGCAGGATTATAGAAATTTAAAGGAGTGTCTTTAGATAATCAGGCTGGCCTGACTCTCCACCCGTCTGTGACGTCTGCTATTTTAGTAAAGATGTTATTATAGTATTATTTGCTGCCCTTCATTTTAAACTTTCCATAGTCAGCTTCTTTCTTGCCTAGTATTGTTCTACTTAGGGTATTTTTTCAAGAAATCTTGTTTGTTTTATGTATCCCCTCTAGGGGTTTTAAAAGAGAGATGTTGACAGACATTTTAAGAAATAAATACAATGAAATATGTGGCTTTTATTAAAAGATAAAACACTTTTATAAGTACCAAACATTGAGGGAAAAGTTTAAGCAAGGGAGTATGAGGTAAAATGCGATACCAGTGACAGGAGAACATCGTGGAATGGAAGAAAAGCTGTTTCAGAGAGTGCACTAATAGATCTAGAGACGAAGAATGTTGGAAATTCATTGCTACCAGTCGTCACTGTGAAGCAACACCTAATTGTTTTACAGATTCTTCTGTTGATATGACCTCGTTAATATTTTTTATATTTTTTTATTTTATTTTGATGAATAGTATAGTGACGCCTGCAATAATCAATATTAGAGAGGTATTCCACACTACTACTGCTCCACTCTCCCCATCATGTCAATACTCTTCGTATTGAATATCTGTCCATGCACAACTGTTCAGGAAATATAAAATCCGATGGATACATTCATCTTAGAATAAAACTACAAGTGCTCGGGCTGCAGCACTCAGTGACGTTGCTAGTGCATCAGGGAACTGTTTCCTTGGGGCTCAGGAAATCAATGGCAATTTCCAAAAAAATCGCTGTGCAAAGTTCAGTTTTAGGGTTCTTAATTTTTAATTTTCATTCATTCATTCATTCAGTAGCATGTCCGTCTCGGAACCTCGCTGCCATAACAACACTCCGGAAAACCTTCCTATCCTGAGCAAGATGTCCTGCGTCTGATACACCCATCTGTAGATCATCTGCCACATCCTGCACCCATCTTCTCCTTGGCCTTCCTCTTCCTCTCTTCCCAGGCATATACCCCTCCATTATTGTTCTCTCTAGACTTCCATGACGTTTCAAGTGACCAAAATATTTCAATTTTCTTTGTTTTATTGTCTTTACTAGCCAACCCTCTTCAATATTCAGCTCTTGAAGTATGGATGCATTTGTTCTTTTCTTTACCCAAGATATTCTTAGAACCTGTCTGTAACATTTATATTCAAATGCATTTATGCGCTGTTCCGCTTGTTTAGTAAGTGTCCAGGTCTCACAGGCGTATGTTGCAATGGGAAAGATGCATGCTCTTAAAAATCTGACCTTTGTAATTCTATCTGTACAATTCCATAATTTATTCAGTTGTTTTAGTCTTTGAAGAGCAATTGATAGTCGCCGTTTAATTTCTTTCATTGTGTCACCATTGTTGGTAACCAGTGACCCAAGATATTCGAAATTTTCCACCACTTCCAATCTTTCCTCATTAACATATATTTCCTTCTCCATGGCAGTTTTGTTTGTATGCATTATCTTTGTTTTTGCTATGTTAAGAAATAAGTTATGATTTTCACTATTTCTTTGGAGTGAGGTTAATAAGTTTTCTAACCCATTTTGTGATGTTGATAGTAATACTGTATCATCAGCATAACGAATTTCTGGTATTTCATGACCACCGATGTTTAGGGCATCATATTGTTCCTTGTTTATATCATCTCTTACATTTCTCATTATATTTTCGGCGTACAGGTTGAACAAATACGGTGACAGCACACATCCCTGACGGACTTCTTGCTTGATGCCAAACCAGTCTGATGTCTCTCCATCTATTCTGACTGCTGCTTGTTGGTCTTGATAGAGCATTTTAATGAGCTGCACTATATGTGATGGAAAGCCCATATTCCTCATGATTTCCCAAAGCTTCTGATGTTGTACACAGTCAAATGCTTTTGAATAATCCACAAAACATAAGAACAGATTTACATTAAATTCTCTACACTTCTCTATTATTAAACGCATGTTGAATATATGATCTCTTGTTCCTCTTCCCTGTCTAAATCCAGCCTGAGCTACATTAATCTCTTCTTCCATTTTCTTATGCAGTCTTCTCATTATAATTTTTAGTAGAATTTTTCTTGCTTGACTGATCAGGGCAATAGTTCGATAGTTTGTACATAATTTCAGGTCACCCTTTTTTGGTATTGGAATGAAGATAGTTCTCTTCCAGTCTTTTGGCCAAATACCATATTTCCATATCTTTTCACATAATGCATGATAGATTTTTATGCTTTCTTCTCCTCCTGCTTTAATCAATTCAGCTGGTATCTCGTCACATCCAGGTGATTTACCATTTTTCAGGCTCCTTATTGCCCATGAAATTTCATCTAATGAAGGTTCAGGTTCTGCCTCTACTGTTACTGGTTCATGTATATCATTCATATCCTCACTGTCATTCATATCATACATTCCGCTGCAGTATTCCTGCCACCTTCCTAGAATTTGTGTAGATTCTGTTAAAGTATTTCCCAACCTGTCACAAATAACATTTAACTGAGGTTGAAAATTTCTTGTCAATAACTTCATTTCCTTGAACATTTCGTAATCTCTTCCATTTTTATTATGCTGCTCTATTTTAATACAGCAATCTTGTACATACTGATTTTTAATCCTTTCTTGTGTTACTTACATATTTCTCGTGTTAAAAATTTATACTTCATCCTACTGTCATTGGTTTCTCCTTTCTTTTTCAGTTCCCTTCGTTGTTTTATTAGTTCTAACGTGTATGGTGTGATCCATGGTTTATGTTGCTTAGTCCTGGTGGGTATTAAGTCTTTAGCTGCTGTTATCAAGATATCCCTAGCTTGTACCGCCAGTTCATCAGGTGTCATTTCCTCTTGTACAGACATCAAGACCTCAAAACGGTTCTTCACTTCTACGTTGTATGCATCTGGTATTTTTGTGAGATCAAATCGAAATGGCATTTTTAATTTTAGAACATATTAATATTATTGTTATTGTTATTATTATTATTCATCTTCTTCTTCTTCTTCTTGTTCTTCTTCCTGTTCTTCTTCTTCTTCTTGTTCTTCTTCTTGTTCTTCTTGTTCTTCTTCTTCTTCTTCTTCTTCTTCTTCTTCTTCTTCTTCTTCTTCTTCTTCTTCTTCTTCTTCTTCTTCTTCTTCTTCTTCTTCTTCTTCTTCCTCTTCTTGTTCTTGTTCTTCTTCTTCTTCTTCTTCTTCTTCTTCATCTTCTTCTTCTTCTTCTTCTTCTTCTTCTTCTTCTTCTTCTTCTTCTTCTTCTTCTTCTTCTTCGTCTTCTTCTTCTTTTTATTCTTCTTCTTTTTCTGTTTTCTTCTTCTTTTTCTGTTTTCTTCTTCTTTTTCTTCTTCTTCTTCTTCTTCTTCTTCTTCTTCTTCTTCTTCTTCTTCTTCTTCTTCTTCTTCTTCTTCTTCTTCTTCTTCTTCTTCTTCTGCTTCTTTTGCTTCATCATCATCTTCTTATTCTTCTACTTCTTCTTTTTTAACTTCTTCTTCTTTTTCAGCTTCTTCTGCTTTTTCTTCTTTTTTACCGGCTGTAACTCGGACGAAAAAGTTCTGATTGTTAGTCCACCTTCAGATTTTATTCTTTTTAAAAAACAGTAGTGTTGCGTGCACATCCGTTTGTTTTGAAACAAACAGATCTGACTTATTTATATGCAGATTGTTGGTTCGTTGCCCCTCGGGCAGGTGCTCTGCGACTTTAAAGGATGTTCCTTATTGATCGACTTCTGCAACATGCTTGTTGAATATTTACCGTCATTTATGAAGGAGGCGTACGCTTATGTTGAACAACCAACACCGGAACGGCACCCGATAGCGCCCTGTCACCATTACACCATTGATCATGAGCATAAGCATTGCAAACAGGCGGCGATACTATAGATCTAAATTATTTAGAGCCGAAAATAACCAGTAATCGATTTCAACAGCACCTGGTTCGATCCATCACGATGAGAAGAGGATGATGGAGGCTGGCCAGTACACGTACCCTTTTCAGTTCCACGTTCCCGCCATCTGCCCAACATCGTTCGAAGGTCAGTATGGCTATGTCAGATATTGGGTCAAGGTCACAATAGAAAGACCTTGGAAGAAAGATATCTCCGCAAAAAAGATCTTCACTGTTATCAGTCCTTTAGACCTCAGTCTGGAGCCAAATGCAGCGGTGAGTATGTGTGTTAATCTATCCGTTATCACACTAGAAAAAAAAAAAACATAACATCTGGCATAGAAAACTAACATTTTGCAACCGGTGTTTATCTGCACCAAAAAGACCACACACACAGAAAAACATTCTTTTGTAGAAGGCATGACGCCCGGCGTAGCATCAGAAGTTGGACTACAAATAAATTATGAAAAGACAATTACACTGAAAACATCAATAACAGTTCAAGCAAATGTAACACTAGAGACAAAACATAGTTAAAGTAAAAGACCACAGTTAAAGTAACAGAACAATTTGCTTATTTAGGTAGTCATTTTGATATTTAGGAAATAAAAAGAACAAAATTTATCACATGCATTTTTATGCGGACAGTTGGTTTCTTGTCTCTCAGACAGATGCATAACGACTTCGAAGGAAGCCCCCAATTAGTCTACTCTTACGACATGCTTGTTGATGACACATTCAGTCTGTTCTTGTCTTCTTAGAAATTCTGTTCATTGCTGAGTCACCCCCTAGACTAACCATGTCTCTTGATTAACCGTTATAAACTAGTTGTACTATTTGAGAATGCGGCGTCTGTGGCTTAGGCGTTGTGAGTCCGACTCGTAATTCCAACGTACGGCGATCGAAACCCATTGCTGGCTAAGTGGAATTTTATCATGGTATAGGGCGTTGCAGGTCGACCCAGCCTAAAATGGGATACCAGGATGTGCCCGTGTGCCCGATGCGCCTTAAGGCGTGAAAAGGAATCATTACTTTACTTTACTTACTAATAAGAATAAGACAGGGCCATTTGCGCACCTGAATTTTAGAACTGACCATCAAATTTAGTGGTGAAATTGTCCAGAAAACTAGTGCGAGAGGAAGTGATTTGTTTCAGCGTCATGAGTCACTGCACATAGTAGGGAGAACAACGTTAGTTGCGTCTCCCTTACAGGACCTCAGTTGCAGAACTTGCCTCAGCAATTGTTGGCAATGGTTTTACTTGGCAGTTTACGTTCAGCGCCCTAGTGAGGCCACTGTTTTAAAGTAAAAGTAAACATAACAAAATTATAGTTACCATTCTGACAGATGATTATGTAAACGTAAAATTAAAAGAATAAAAGAACGTGCTGAAGAATAAGCAATAATGTCCCAGTATTATGTCATCCACATACTGAACAGAAGGAGAATCACCAAACAAGTACTGAAAGGGGAAATAAATGGAGTGAGAAAAAGGCTGTCCAAAAGAATCTATAAAACCAACATTGTTGAAAAAGGCCTAAGGTGGTGGATTGGATTATATCCATGATATCGAAATAATTGATCAGGACAGCACGGAAAAAAGGGATAGAATACTCGACACCCTGTGACCTATAATGGCACAACAGTTTGGGTCGGTTGGGGGGGGGGGGGGAGGTTATGATGATGATGATGAGTATGATGATAATGATGATGATGACGATGCCATCTGACAACTCCTACATCAAGCGAGAGATTTATTTAATTCCTTTATTTGTGTCAGGACGCTGACAGCCCCTTGAGGAGGATTTGCTGATGAATAGATAATAAAACAAACTGCCTGCACTGTGGGGAACAACATTAGTTATTCAGGCCACAATGTTGATGAAACCGCCTGCTTGCGGTCTATGAATATTAGCAAACACAAAATTGGAGCCAGCCGATATGTGGTTTCAGGGAGAAGATGCCATGATACAACAGGCAGTTGCAGTAAAAAAAAAAAAAAATCAATTATGGAAGTTTAGAGGAATGCAAATGCAAGTCTTTATAAGTCAGCTAGGTCTGTTGCAGACTGACAAAGATTCTCGGTTTGGCTAATGAATTGGAAGAAGTCTGGCAGTTTCTAGTCAGTTCATCTTTAAGGAGTGGAGAAGAAAGGTTGTAAGGAAAAAAAGGTACGCCGAAAATTTTTTGAAATTTTAATTGGAACCTGGATAAGATGGAGAGATAGCCAATGGCAATAAGTAAGTGGTAAGTGAAGGACCATTTTTATGCCAGTGGTACAGTGGGCATATAATGCTAGACCCATAATTTCAGAAACCAATCGGCATTCAAAAAAGTTGCGTGGTTAGCATCACGTCGGTCGCCTTTACTTTTCATGACACTTCCTGGAACCCAGTCTCGTCTAACTCAACCTGGGACCCACAATTAATTAATTAAAATCATTTTTCAGGCACACTGGAACCCAAAACCTTAGGCCTGGTAGGTAAACGTATAGATATTGCACTGAATAAATGCTAGAACGGACGATGGCGCACTTTCGCAGAGAAACTCAGAGAGTTTGTTTTGTGAAATAGTGGATTAGCGCTCAGGTAAAGAAACCCTCCGAAAAGAAAACTAGGAATTGATGCTGGTTTTTTTTTTTTGGGGGGGGGGGTGGGGGTGGGGAGGGGAGGGCGTTTTAATTGGATTAAAACGTCGGGTCATACATGTTAAAAGCGCAGAGATATGTAATAAAAGTTTTCTTCATTAAATATTGCAGAACATTGTGCAATTCATATGAAACATATACTTTAAAAAAAAAGACACACAGGGGACTAAACTGTCACCACAGTTTCACCTAAAACCCTCGAGTTGCACTTGACATCCTCGGGCTATTTATTCTCGGGCCTCACGTGTCTTTTTATTTCACTGGCCAGACATCGATGTGGCTGCTATCGGGGAATACGTCAGTTAAGTATTTTGTTTATTCATGTGGCTTTGCTTGTGTAATGTACTGATAAAAGTTCGGTAGCCGCAACGTTAATATTCCGTTTGTATTTGTTATATTGTGAAGCTTACTGGTCTACTTTTTTTCCGGTTTTGTTATCTTTCCATGATATATGCTAATGAGACTGCTGAAACCCATTACACAGTCTCTATAAAGGGAACGAACGAACGAACAAACTTTATTTTCAAAGGGTCACAAATTAGGCACGCAGACCTGTCTTACATTCGGTCCTTCAAAACTTCCATCTTTCACACAGCAGTTATTTTTCATCAATAAAGCATGTTATGTTCATGTAATAATATTCATATTATAAATATCAAGTCAAAAACAAAAGCATGGGTGGTAAAATACATGCGCGCGAACACACACACTCACATACACACCCAAACCCATTCACTCACTTACACACTCACACATAGATACCCAATATACACATAAATACACATCCACATAATACAAACATGCACACACACACACATACATATACACACACAAACATGCACACACACACATACATATACACACACATACATATACACACATACATACATACATACATACATACATACATACATACATACATACATACATACATACATACATACATACATACATACATACATACATACATACATACATACATACATACATACATACATACATACATACATACATACATACATACATACATACATACATACATACATACATACATACATACATACATACATACATACATACATACATACATACATACATACATACATACATACATACATACATACATACATACATACATACATACATACATACATACATACATACATACATACATACATACATACATACATACATACATACATACATACATACATACATACATACATACATACATACATACATACATACATACATACATACATACATACATACATACATACATACATACATACATACATACATACATACATACATACATACATACATACATACATACATACATACATACATACATACATACATACATACATACATACATACATACATACATACATACATACATACATACATACATACATACATACATACATACATACATACATACATACATACATACATACATACATACATACATACATACATACATACATACATACATACATACATACATACATACATACATACATACATACATACATACATACATACATACATACATACATACATACATACATACATACATACATACATACATACATACATACATACATACATACATACATACATACATACATACATACATACATACATACATACATACATACATACATACATACATACATACATACATACATACATACATACATACATACATACATACATACATACATACATACATACATACATACATACATACATACATACATACATACATACATACATACATACATACATACATACATACATACATACATACATACATACATACATACATACATACATACATACATACATACATACATACATACATACATACATACATACATACATACATACATACATACATACATACATACATACATACATACATACATACATACATACATACATACATACATACATACATACATACATACATACATACATACATACATACATACATACATACATACATACATACATACATACATACATACATACATACATACATACATACATACATACATACATACATACATACATACATACATACATACATACATACATACATACATACATACATACATACATACATACATACATACATACATACATACATACATACATACATACATACATACATACATACATACATACATACATACATACATACATACATACATACATACATACATACATACATACATACATACATACATACATACATACATACATACATACATACATACATACATACATACATACATACATACATACATACATACATACATACATACATACATACATACATACATACATACATACATACATACATACATACATACATACATACATACATACATACATACATACATACATACATACATACATACATACATACATACATACATACATACATACATACATACATACATACATACATACATACATACATACATACATACATACATACACACAGTCACCCACACAGATACACACTCTAAAACACACACGCAAACAACCCAGACACACACAGATACACACAGCTATACACACACACGCGCAAACACACACATACACACACGTAGCCGCACAAAAAGACACATAAAAACACACACACCGACGCACACAGACATAAACCCACACAGGCACACATACACACAGACACACGCTCCATACAAACACATACACACACGCAGGCAGGGAAATACACATACACATATATACACACAGACACGCACACAGTCACACCCAGGGACACATAAACCGAAGCAAACATTATATAATAGACACACCCAAACACATACAGATACACACAAAGTCACACAAACAGACACGCACATCTACAGAAAGGCACAGATACACATACAGCTACACACACAGGCACATAATGACACACAGATACATACAAATACACTCACCGATGCACAAACACTCACACAGATACACACACACAGACGCGCGCGCGCACACACACACACATATTAACAAAAAGACACACACACGCAGATACACACGAAGATACACACACAGAGACACATGCACACGCAGACATTATATAACAGGCACACCCATATAGACTCACACAGATACACACAAAGCCACACACACAGACACGCACAGACACATACAAATACACATGCAGCCACACACACACACAGACACCGACAGACCCATAATGGCACACAGACACACACAAAGACACACACACACACACACATACTAACACACCCACAGACGCACAAACATGACAAGAGGCTGTCAAGAGTTTTCGTTGTCTTCCTCTGTGTATCGTTCCACAGATCTGTCCTTGGTCACAACAGTCTCCAGTTTCCTTCTCCTCCTAACATGATGAAAAAATAATGACCGTCTCTGTGATGATATTGTGATAAGTTGTCTTTGAGCCATCGCTGGTTTCAAATCGTTTGAGCTGCTGCTTAATGAATTGTAAGAGTTCTACTGTACAGCTATATTTCCGAGGCCTCGTGAAACTGTATACATACATTCATATACCTATAAAAAGAACACATGTAAAATTACAGATATATCAGTAAACTTTTCCAACTTGCACATGACACTAGTATTCATTTCTCTGAATAAGTGGTCAGATCATTGTTACGGTATCCTACAGCCAGTCAGCCAGCCGCCCTAGAGGCAACCCCCCCCGCCCCTCCCCCCCCTTCCCCCCCCCCGCGCCACTTTCCTCTGTCGTCCTGACCTTTTTAGAGTGGCAATTACCGGAGCATTAACTGTTACTATAGCAACTGATTAAGTCTGTAAGTTAGTTTCCGCAATCATTAACAGGCATCACCCACCCCTCTCTCCCCTCTTTTTTTCTTTTCTCTCTCCCCCCCCCCCCCCTCCCCCACTTTATAATCATCTGAGAATTCTGTCAGGGTTTCAGATAAATTTGCTGGATAAAACAACTGCCCTGATAACATTTGACGTCAGTTGCCCAGATCGAATCGCAAGCTTTATTTCCATAGCACACACAGTGTTATGTCTGGCAGGAAGAGCAAAGTGGCGAGCCAATTTTTCAGCTTTGAGATATCGTTAGCCGTTAGTTATTCGACATTTTAATATCGCTACAGACGGGTTCCCCTACAACTGCTCCGCTCCTGTGCCAGTGGAAATCATACAAAATGTCTTTCACTGTTCCATATGAAAACTAGTTAATAACTTGTCAGAACCTACAAAATCCTGAATCTTGCACGCGCAAAAGTAAATGTGCATAAGGCACAGTCAGATGTGCCAATACTAACGACCCTACACCATGACGTGCAACAGCACACTGTTGTCGGAAATGGTCAACCACGAAAGACGACATTACACCCGCAAAAGTATCTGTCATTCTGAACGCCATGTTTGTGCAGTCAACAACAGGCCGCATCTCAACTCGGAGAAAAAACTTGCCACGTGAAGTCAGCAGTTCACAGTATCGAACCAAACATTCAGTTCAGTAGCTAGGCGACGAAATCTTTGCACTCCCTGTCCATACAAATGATTTTACATCAACAAAGCTAGCTGGAAACAAATGTTTTTACAAAACATCAGCCAGCTATTAGCCACTTTAAGATGTATTGGGCTTAGGAATTATCCGGTGGGTCTCCGTGTCACCCTGGTCAAGCTGTTCGTCTCACGCTCTGAAGGTTGCCAGTCAATTTCTTTACTATCTCTAGGGATCGTCACCGGAGTTACGTAGTTGTGCATTGTGTGATGCTCTCAGCAGGGGGCTAGCCGTTCTGTGGAGAGAGACCGAGCCATATGGGATAAAACCCGGTGCGATGAAGTTCCATATTTGGCAAGATAGATCAACGCTCCGCTAATGCTGTGACTTTGGATTAAGACTGCCACCTTTACTTCCCTTTACGTTTCTGTGACCGATTTTACGCTGGGTTGATCTGGAATTCCAGTGCAAGTTTTAAAATCTGCCTCGATGCGGGTCAAAACTATGAATTTTGGACAGGCAGGTAAACATGTGGGTACGAAACAGCTAATACATACATGTGCCAGGGGCGCTGATACACAGATAACGTTGGGGAGGGGGGGAGTGGTGCTAGCCCCTTGCAAATTTTCTACAGAAGGGATGCTTCACTGTGCCTAAGCCTCGTTAAAGTGCGCAATAGCACACCCAAATTTCTGTTCGTGTGCTAAACGGCAAGTAAAGATAACAATTTATGTGAAATACTATGAAATGGATAAGCATCTATTTATAAATGACCTTTTATAATAGCTGAGAAGGGATAAGGCGCTTAGTTCCCCCATACAATTTTTAAGGGGAGCTAGCCGCCCCAACCCCAAAACTTCGTTTAAGTGCGTAATTACACACATATAATAATATTTCTGAAATAATATTAAATGTATTAACTAGGGCTGTACCGAATAGTGATTTTCACTATTCGGCGGAATAGAATACTGGGCCAACTATTCGGCCGAATAAGAATGCGAATAGTGAATCATCATCATCAGGTGCTTTGCCGACTGGCATGGGCGATTATGCCTCTCCATAATCTGCAGCATGTATTAGTTAGTGTGCCGACACACCTCCATGCGATGCAACAAGACTGTCAAGAATCTTCTCTCGTGTCTTCCTCTATCCCTACTTCCACATATCTTTCCAGTGGTCACAACATGTTCCATTTTCCCTAATCTTATAACATAGCTGAAAAATGATGACTGTCTCCTTCAGATGTCTGTGAGTAGTTGTCTTCGGGCTCCTGCCTCTATCAAAACCTCTTGGCTGCTTTTTTTTTTTTTTTTTTGCTGTCTAAGGTATTTTAAGCATTGTTCTGTAAAACTACATCTCTGAGGTCTCAAGAAATTGTTTGGTCTGCCTACCGATTCTCCAGGACTCACAGCCATATGTTAAAACTGGTTGTATGTAGCAAGCACGAATTTTTTTTTTTTTAACCTTCAATGACAAAGATATATTTCACAAGATGTTTTTCATTTTATAAAATGCAATTTTTGCCTGTCCTATTCTGTTTCTTATTTCAGTAATGCTTCTTCCATCTGATGTTATCCATGTGCCCAAATACTTAAATTTTTGTACTTGTCCCAAAATAAAACCATTGACTTTTATTACACATTTAGGAATAATTATTTTCTTTGATAGCACTATTACTTCTGTCTTCCCACTATTCAAACTATTCCATTTTCGAATAGTGTATAAAATAGATCTAAACAAAAAAACATCCATAATGTCAAATGTACGCTGAAATTTTACTTCACAAAATGTACTACAGAAAAGTAAACATTTAAAAACATTTCGTGTTTTGCATCCTTCAGTCAGTCAGTCTATGGTAACTCATACCTAGGAATGAAAGTATTCTTAGTTTTATAACAAGTAACTAAACTTGTAAATTGTCGCTGACAGCTTAGTTAATCCATGAAAGCGGCATAAAAAACAATCGTTCCATGTTGTCAGCATTAAGGCAGCTTCTTGTCTCACTGAAGGTATTTCCAGCTGTACTAAACATACGTTCACTTAGTACGCTCGTAGGTGGTGCACAAAGATAACGATTGACAGTATGAACCAAGGTGGGAAATTTTGATGTTTATTTGCCATTAGTCCAGAAACGGGTGTAAGGTAACCACTATTCGTATTCGGCCCGACCGCAACTATTCGGCCGAATACCAAATAGTCATTAGGTCCACTATTCGGCCCCGAAGCGAATACGAAGCGAATATTCGGTACAGCCCTAGTATTAACAGCCACTTATAAAATGCCTTCTGTTGATAGTGGGGGGGGGGGGCATGCTTAGTCCACTTACAATTTTTATGAGAAGGGGTCTGATGGGGACTGATACCCTGCCCTCCCCCTAGGTTATGCAGTGTATATAATTAACAAAATCACAGTATGATATGAAAACTGCGACAAGCTTTATAGCACTGCTACCATTACTCTGACAGCAACCAGCTTACAACACCAGAGAGAAACACATTTGCTGTATGTGTTGCATGTCAGGGCCGATCACAGCCACGCTGAGGCTCAGTCAGAAAGGCTACGTCCCAGGGGAGACCGTCACAGTCAGCGCAGAAGTCAACAACAGTTCACGGAGAAAGGTGGACAGCATTTCTGTGGAGCTGCTGATGGTGAGGTCGTGTTTATACATTTGGTCATCTGAAGGGTCATCTGGGAACAAACAATATTGGTTTCGGCAATTTAGTTCAACAGATCCTGAGCAAATAAATCAATTTAAAAAAAAAAATGAAAAAAGTAAAGGACCCTTTTCCACGCCCTTAGGCTAGACCTATATTTTATAGACCAACAGCACACAATGGGTGGTGTGGTCAGCATCACGCCGGCCGCCTCTGCTTCCCGGGACTGCACCCGGTACCCACTCAAGGCTGGGTCGACCTGGGAGCCTAGGTCATTTTTGAAGAAAAGTCCGGCTCCGCCAGGGAGCGAACCCACGACCTTTCGATCCGCCACGCGCGTCTAGCCGCTCTGCCACGGGGACTCCCAATAAATCAAATAGCGAAAGCTTTCTTCGGCTGATTTTTAACATTGTCTCTCAACCTGGTTGTGCACTGTCTTAGACTGCAGTTTGATCATAATGACGTTTTTGTCCCCTATTGCCTCCGCTCGCTCGCCTGGAACTGCTCTGTCCGCTGTCGTTTTTATAAACAGTAGTATGGCTCTTGGTGTAGCAGAAATACTTGCAATACTTACAAACCAAATGCTTTCAAGTGGCTTGGAGATAGGATGCCCATCTGTAATTCCTGCAGACTTGCGGAAGCAGCAAGAATTATGACGGGCAATCCCGTGAAACATTAACAGGATTGTGTGGCTAATCTACGAATCCCATGACAGAGTAATAAAGACTCTGACTTGTGTTATTTCAGTTGAAATTGTTCACTTTATACTGCATTACATAAAAAAGGTAATATGGTGTGATGGAAATTATGCACTAATGCAACTGACATTGTCTTACAGCATAAGACAATCCCAATCAGCATTAAGAGACATCTTATTCAAAGCATATTTATTCCAACTCTGTGCTACCAGTGCCAGACATGGTCACTCACAACAAACCATAAAAGAAAATTAGTAACCATGGAAATGAGATGTCTGAGAAGGGCTGTAGGAGTGACCATAAGAGATAAGATCAGGAATGAGATCATAAGAGAAAAAGTCGGCACAGAACCAATTCTAAATTACATACAAAGACAGCAAGTGAAATAGTTTGCCCACTTAGAGAGAATGCCTTGTGACACCATACCATACAAAGCATACATGGAAAGAGAAGAAGGTCGTAGAGCAAGAGGTAGACCAAGAACAAGATGGAAGGATAACATCAGAGAAGCTCTACAACAGCACGATGTGCCTATGGTCGAGGCGGCCAGAAGAGCCAGAAACAGAACCTTATATCTCCCTCGACCTCGACACCCACAGCGGTAAAAGAGGAAGTGAAGAAAAAGAAGAAGAAAAAGAAGAAGAAGAAGAAGAAGAACTGACGAGGCACAGTGAAATATGTCGCCCAGTAAATTGTTCAGTATTTAGTCTTTCTCCCTTATTTAAATTTGTAGCGAGAAAACATTATTTGGAATCTTTACAATTGTATATGCACTTTATAAAATTTTACTTTCGTAGTAAATGCTGTGCAAATAAGGTCCCTGTTTACGTCATTGTCCCACAAGGGGCTTATAATGCTTCAGATATTGTTTAGACCAAACAGCAATTGACAGATGATGTCATCAAGACGACAGCGGCTGCCTTTACTTCTAACATTTCCTGATACCTATTTTAGCCTGGGTCGACTTACACGGTCATTTACATTTTTTAACATTCGTTCGGGTTCGGATCTGAGGTATAACATAATTCTGCTCTACAGTAAATATTAGCCCCATATACTTTCATAATAGGATTACTAATCTAATCACTAATCATTACTCCGGAAGCCTTTACTTTCAACGACATTTCTTGATAACATTTAGGCTAGGTCGACCTGTGAGGCAGGGTCATTTTTAAAAAAAAAGCAATATCAACCTAAACAAGACTTTACTTTCGATGTCTTCTATAAAGTTTTTGGAGGGAGCAGTGTCACATTATTTCATCAGGTACTGTCCACTTATTGAAACATCAAAGTAAAGAAACTGTCTCCATGTGTTGAGATTTCTCGCATATGGTGCTATTTATTTGTAGACCAATCAGCACTTAATCGATAATGCAGTCAGTGTCACGACTGTCCTTTTTAATAATAAAATTCTCACTACAAAGCTAGAAGTTCAGGTTGTTTTTTTTAAATCCATCCTGTACGATTCGAATATTTGGCCGCTAGTCTGCAGACGTATATTCTAGCCACTGCAATTAAAGACATTAATCGTGATGAGACAGGATTCGATTGCAAAAACTGTACTTCAAGGAACATTGGGGTGGGGGTGGGGCGAGGGGTAGTCGGAGAAGTGGGGCAAAGAAGAACGTGGAATTACAACATCAAGAAATATACAGGACTAAGTTATTATACACTTATTCATCAAGCGGAAGACAAAGAAATATATTCGGGTTTTATGTGCTAGTGCTTCTTCCATCAATACACCTCCACGACCTAATAACGGTTCAAGGGTTATGTTATTTAAATAATTGCGGCATCGATCCAAACTCTTACATTAACTAATAAAATCGATAATTTACACACGTGTTGATTTTTGCAGACTACAACTTTTCACACACCCCACAAGTCGCGATCTGTGACACAACAAGTTGCCAGGCTGCACCACGGCAGTTTAGCTTCTGGCAAAAGTGATAAATGGGAAGGAGACAATTTCTCCGTTCCCTCTCTTCCCCCGTCGTACTTAAGTGGTTGTAGCATTATGGAAATCAAGTATACATTGGAGGTATGTACTCTACATTTTTACTGTAATTTGTTAGTTTCACTACTGTTTTTAAGTGGTCACAAAACAACCCAGCAAAGCTTAATACTTTTTCGACACATCATTATTCTGCTACACCGTTAGACGTCACACGGAGCTCGCCGTCTTTTCCTCCGTCCCTTCTTTTAATCTATGTCTTTTTCTTGTCGGTGTTGACATAAAAAGCATTCACACGTGATTTCCATTTCATTATATCCTTTACAACCCTTCCCATACCATGGATGCAATCCATCTGTTGCCATTGATCTTTCTCAACAGCGTCCATCTTTGTGTATCTTGGATGTCTTCTTTTGCTCGATCCAATTATTTCTTATTTCATTACCTCTTTAGTGATTCTTTTTCCGCTTCTCTTTATGACGTGCCAAAATATTAACTGTTGATACCAGCGGCTGCCCAGACATTTCTCTCAATTCTTCATCTTTGAAGAATAAATTTGTTTTCGAATTCATTTGATTTTAATTCCAAGCCTTTAGTGGTTCTACAACTTTCACGTCCATATGATGCAACTGAAATACGAAGTTGCTATATAAATAAGTAAACTGTCTGTTACATCAACTCTTTGTTATTTTTCAGTGTGACCGCATCTATACATAGAACAGCATATACTGTACATAAATATGATCTCTGCTGGACCCTTTATTTTGTACTCCTGAAAGAAAATGAAGATTTTTGTATTGTTGGGATCAACGATGTCAGACTACCTTTCTCAAGAAGCAGAAATTAACAGGCGCACTAAAAAGGCAGCCACGACACTTGCAAGCTACTTAAGAGAGAGAGTGTGTGTGAGACAAGTCAACTAAAATGGCGAACAACAGTTCAGGTCTATATGTCTTGCGTTGTTATACTACTCCATTGGTCTGAATCCTGCACTTTGTACTCAAGACCGGAAAGAAAGCTAACTCCTTTCACATGTCTGAGATGTACCCTGTGCATATCGTGGAAGGGCCACATAACAAGAAAGGACTCTTTTCCACGCCTACCAGACGTATTGGGCATGTAGAGCTAGACCTATATTTTATTTACCAATCGGCACTTGGTGGGTGATGTGGTCAGCATCCCACCGGCCAGGGCACACTAGTAAAAAGTAAAAAACGCTTTCCGGTGTATTGGGCATGTAAGACTAGACCTATGTTTAATGCAAAGTAGACTTGTTCTTATACTCTATAGTTTTCTCACCCATTTGTCTCAAAGTAAAAAAAAAAATAATGCATCGTGGCATCCCGTTCCTTATCTGAAGCCAACTGCGAAATATTTAGGGATGGTTTTACTTTATATCTTACGTACTCAGTTCTAAAATTCTAAATTTTCCTATGTGGCTAAGAAGAGATATTCCTCTGTATTGGCTGCACTTTTTCTTACTGCCTTTGTTTTTTTTTTAAACTGGCACAATTACAGATCTTTGCTAGTCTTCTGGTACCTTCCTCTCTTGCCATGCCTGGTTATAGATCTTTGCCAGTCTTCTGGTACCTTCCTCTCTTGTCATGCCTAGTTATAAATCTTTGCCAGACTTCTGGTACCTTTCTCTCTTGTCATGCCTGATTATAGATGTTTGCCAGTCTTCTGGTACCTTCCTCTCTTGTCATGCCTGGTTATAGATGTTTGCCAGTCTTCTGGTACCTTCCTCTCTTGTCATGCCTAGTTATAAATCTTTGCCAGACTTCTGGTACCTTCCTCTCTTGTCATGCCTGGTTATAGATCTTTGCCAGTCTTCTGGTACCTTCCTTTCTTGTCATGCCTAGTTATAAATCTTTGCCAGACTTCTGGTACCTTCCTCTCTTGCCATGCCTGGTTATAGATCTTTGCCAGTCTTCTGGTACCTTCCTCTCTTGTCATGCCTAGTTATAAATCTTTGCCAGACTTCTGGTACCTTCCTCTCTTGTCATGCCTGGTTATAGATCTTTGCCAGTCTTCTGGTACCTTCCTCTCTTGTCATGCCTAGTTATAAATCTTTGCCAGACTTCTGGTACCTTCCTCTCTTGTCATGCCTGGTTATAGATGTTTGCCAGTCTTCTGGTACCTTCCTCTCTTGTCATGCCTGGTTATAGATCTTTGCCAGTCTTCTGGTACCTTCCTTTCTTGTCATGCCTGGTTATAGATCTTTGCCAGTCTTCTGGTACCTTCCTCTCTTGTCATGTCTGGTTATAGATCTTTGTTAACCATTGTTTACCCACGTCCTGGCATGTTTCGATGGCTTAGATTGAAATATTTTCAATTCATATAGCTTTGTTGCTGTAACTTCTTTTGATTGCTTCTTTCAGTCCCTGTTCTAGAATTATCGCTTCTACAGGCATAAAGATGAAAAGTTACACTTACCCACACTAGACATCAAGGTGACCGGTTCCATTTCCAGTATGGTAACTATAGCTTTCAATTGTCATGTCTAATGAAGGTAATTGCAAGTAGAATATTTGGGTACTGTGCTTACACTGTCCAACTGAAAATCAGGTTGTTGCAAAATAGATACACGTCTTTGCTTAATGTTGCAAAAGAAATGTATGGTGATAGTGGGTATAGTTATTTAGCTTATCTATTATATAAAATGTGCACCATAATTGTATAATATATAGATATGTTTTTTATACGTTCTCAGCAATACTACTTTTAGAGGTCATATAATCTTCATTATGTTGTTTATAGCAGTGTGATTTTTCATGCAGCGTATAAATCAATCTTTTTTTTTTTTTACTTTTTTCAGCTTCGTGTCTTCCCAGTGGGTCCAGCATTTGAGCTGGCAGTCCCTCTAGAAATTATCATCGGAACAGTTCCTTTACGTCCAACACTGGAAAGTTACTTGCCAGTTCACCAGAAGACATCATTAACACCATCTCCAGTACACAATGGAGCTGCAATCACCCAGACAGATGACCACAGAACATCTCAGCACAGTCAGTTTTTTATTGTTGCTTTTTTCCTAACTTTTCATTTCTCATTTGCTTTGAATGAGTTCCATCATTTTATCATAAGTACTCATTGAAGTTGCAGTTATCTGGGCAGACAATATCCATGTAGATAATCTCTGACAAACACGTCAAGTTTTCAAGGAATCTCACTAAATTTGTAAAACGAGTACCAGAGATATGAGATATTAGAACATTGAGCTCTCATGTGGGAGACCTTGGTTCAATCCTCGGTATGGGATAAAGATTGTTTTTTGTCACTATTGTCAAAACAAAAGCTAACTGATAAGTTAGCTGCTCTAGCATAAACAAAAGCAATTCTCAATGATGAGATTATTATCTATGTGTAAACACTCAGAAATTTCATTTTCAAAGTTGCAAATATACAAGTATACTTAACTGTATGTTCCATAGATAAAATATAAAAAGATTTTTTTATATGTCAGGCACACACAAAAACCTAACCAGTCCATTTTGTCACTGCACAAGCCACATGGCCTTAAATCCTCAGACTGTCTTACACCGCCCTCAAAAAGGAAAATTCAGACAATAGTAGAGATATCTCGCTTTGGGACAGAACTAAACAAATTCTGGTAAATAAAGAAATGAAGAAGATCAATCAATCAATCAGGTGCCGTCCCCACAATGAAGGTTGGCTGCAATGGATCTCCAACAAGCCCTGTCTCTTGCCCTTGATGTACACTCACTCATACTGCTGTTCGTCCATCTCTTGATGTTATCCTCCCACTTGTAATGCTGTCTGCCTCTTGCTCGCCTACCTTGAACCTTTCCCTTTAGGATGATCTTTACAATACTGTTATGTCTTTTAATGTGACCAAAATATTTCACTTGTCTCTTTTTTATTACACCTAGCAACTCTCTTTAAATTCCCAATTTCCTCAGTACCTATGTATTTGATAGCTTTTGTTTCCATGATGTACGACCTAATCTTCCGTATATCCACCTCTCCAAAGAATTGATACGATTTTCCAGAAGAAGATAGCACTGGCTAATAAGACACACGCTGAGAAAACCTGAGAACAATATAACTAGAATGTCTTTGCACTGGAACCTACAGAGACATAGAAATATGCTCCAGTGGAGGTTAAATGGTAGAAGAAGAATATAAAGAAGAAGTAACTCTGGGAAAGAAACATGACACACACAAAAAGGTTGGTGATTTCCTCACTTCACATTACCATAACCTATGCTAATTACTATCAATCTAATACTCTATGGTGGTCTTTGTAGGAAATTACATACAACCTTTCTTGTTCTACTGCTGCTACTTCATTGTTTCTTCCTCCACCTAACCTCAGCTAAGTGTTTTGGAGGAAAGTTGTAAGGATATCTTTATTGCACTTTCATTTCCTCTTTAACTACTGTGCTTCCTAGCACTCATAAGCCCTGGCCTGATTTCTCAGTATGCACATAATTTCAGCCCTACCCAAGATCACTAGCCACAGGCACAGGTTCTGTTTATCGAAACACATGACAGACATATTGAATTATAAATTCCTTTGAAGACGGAGTCCGTCTGCCTGTGAGTCAAGGAGCCAACAGTCTGCATAAATATATGCCAAATCTGTAAAACAGATGCGCAGGTCAAACTCAAGTTCTAGAAAAGGATCACAGTTTAGATGTGGATGAACAACCAGAACTATCCGCCAGAGTTTACAGCCAGTGAATGCTAAGAGAGGAGGGGAAGAATGATCAAAGTAATACATAATTATAAAAATATAAATTAATTATTACTGTAACTATTGACACATTAAAATTATTGATAAATCAAAATATTTAAACGGGCACCTTTTGATGCACAACAGTTTTGAAAGTGTTGATCATCTGGCAGAAAAGATAAGACATCCTCCAACAATGACATCTTTTTTTAAGCAAAAATAATTATAAGACCTTGTTTTATTTTGGGGAAACATGGTACTTGAATCTGTTGTATTTTATCATGTAAACAACCAAAAAAAAAAAATGAATTTCCCATCAAGGTTTTAGAATGTAATATCTTATTATTTTGTGTTTCTTTCAGTGTCCCATACATACTCTATATCACAAATGAGCCACTTCTACATGCATGATGATGATGATGACCAATGTTCACTGATGGCCAATTATGTCCCAAGATACACCATGTACAACTTTCAAGGAATGCCCTCCAAGCGACAGCACACTGTTAGATTTGCAACCTGACAATCGCAGTTATCAATATGTATCCAACAGCACCATCACCTGTATTAACATATTCTCTCTAGAATGCAGGGAACACTCTGTGTCATTTTGTTGCTTCCATCTCTTAGTAATTATTATAGGACTGGGGTGGGGTGGGAAAAGGAGGGGGAAACAGATATCAGTGGCAAAGCCATATATGCTCAGAGAGTCTTTGGTTGGTTAATGGACTACCCCGTGTGGGTTCCAGGGCTCATTTTAGGAGGGGAGGAGGAGAAAATAGTCACTGCCTTCTCCAACATGCATTTCCTGAAAGGCTAACTAATGAGGGATATATCCTTCCAGGTTTGAGTGCGTCTGCCTAAGTGGCGAGGAACAAAAATTATAAATACAAAAAAAACAAATGTGTGTGCAAAAATCCAAGTTCTGGAACAAGATTATAGTGGACGAAAAACCAGAACTTTTTGTCTGAGTTTACAACTGGGAACGCTGAAAAGAAAAAGAAGTTTCACAGACTGTGTCATTGATTTTGTGGAGAAATGTTTAGAGAAGGAGTGGATCACTGCTGGAGATACAGAACACATGCTTTGTGCGACACTTTTTGCAGAGGGCTAGCCATGCTATGAAGAGTGACAGATCCTCTTAAGTTTAAACTTTATTTATTATTATTGTGAGATTAACAGAACTGATAAGGTATCCCATACTTGGTAAGTCAGATTTAGAGAAGAGGGAGCAGAAAGTCTCAATGATCAGAACACCTCAAAGAAAAGATAGTAAAATTGCAGCTGCCGGAACAGTGGCTACTGGCCTTGTGGTCATATTTCCAAATGTCATTTCTTTCTTCTTCTTTCTATGCGTCCACTGGCGGTACACTCCAGCAGAAAGTTCTGGTTGTTAATCCATTTCTGGACTTAAGTCTTGTTCCACAACTTGAGTTTTGCACAAACATCCATTTTACAGATCTGGCTTATTTGTAGGCAGAGTGTTGGTTCCCCTCTCTCAGGCACATGCACTCTGACTTCAAAGGAAACACTCCCCAACTAGTCCACTTTATCACATGATTGTTAGAGGCAATGGGTCTATTCTCTCCCCCCCCCCCCCACCACACACACAATAGGGCACCGGAAACCCACACAGGGACAAAAGTCCTCTGACCCAGATATTTTCACTGATCGTTGATGCCAGGTATCCCTGCATTAAAATTTCAAGAAATTTCATGGGAGAGATAATAAAAACATCACGTATTGAGCTTTAAAAAATATAGGGTTTGAAAAATATACGTAATAAGACATGCAAAGTGAAAAGAGGCTGTTTACTTTCATTCATTTTATTGTAAAACTAAAAACAGAGAACAGACATTAAAATACAAGAAATGTAAATATGTTATCTATACCTGTTAATACTTGGCCCTAGAGAAAATTATAAGGAAAGTTGAAAAAAAAAAACAAGAATACATGAATATGCAGGTGACATTGATATCACTGGAGAAAATCAACAAGAGATAATAAAAACACTGATTCTCTTAAGTGAAGCAGCTAAAAAAAAACTGGACTAGTTCTCAATCAAGATAAGACAGAATGCATAGTAATAATAAGACAGGGAAAGTATAATAACTCCTGCAATAAACAAATCGATAATATGAAAATCAGACAACGGAAACAGTTAAGTACTTGGGTGCAAACTTCAACTGCTCCAACATGCAGAGAGAAGAAATACAATCTAGAAATAAAGTATAGTATGCTCTATAAATCTGCTAAAATCAAAAGTCTTGTCTTACAACACCAAGATCACAATATACAAAACATTGTTAAGGTTATTTCTTTCATATGGCTCTAAAGCTTGGGGCACAACTAAAAGAGATTAAGCCTTATTACAAATTATTGAAAACAGAGTAATACGCCTAAGTTTTTGACCCATCAAAGATGCAGATAGTGAATTACACCCCTGTGCCATAATGTCGACCCATTGTTCAAAACCTCTTTATCTTATAACTTTTACTGGTGGTTTCCCAAACCTAATGTAGCAGAACAGTTCTAATAAAACAATGCAAATAATGTCATTGTGTGAATAGACAGGTAGTAATTCAGAAGTGTGACCATTTTAACCGGGACCAGATTTACAATAGTTTACATGTTAACATAATAAACATAAGTGAAAAGTTCCACATTACATGTTCAAACAGAATTATCCTAATCAAAATGTCAAAGTCTGTCCTAATAAAAACTAAGTTAGTTTTTGTGTGTGTATTATTTATTTCTGTACACTAAAAGTGATCTAGAGAATTTGCAATAGATTTGATAAATAAAGATGGGATTTTCATAAAGATGCTTAACTTTTACAATGTCACTAGTATGTTCAGTGTTAATGAAAAATTTTTGTTTAATGTTTTAATTCATTGGAAGCTCAAGAAAAATTGTTTATATGCTCTGACAGCAGATAAAGAATATCAAGTGAGGGTCAAGTACACAAGCTTTTCACTATGGTATGAAGTCAGGATTGCATTGTGTAAGATTTTTTTTTAAATCATCATGGCTTCCCAGCTGACCCAGCCTAACATGGATATCAGATAAAGTCCTGGAAAGTAAAAGCAGCCAGCATGATGTTGACCATAATATCCATCTAGTACTGACTGGCCTATACAAAAAATATGTCTAGCATCAAAAGCCTGATGCATCACTTGTATGAAAAGGTTCATTTACTTTTCCTTTACTGACTTCCGTGCTTCTCAGTGTCATCAACTCTCAAGAGCAGGGTTTTTCAACTTGGGGAGCGCAAGGAAGTTTCAATGGGGGCATCAAGCAATTTTGAAACTGAGTTCATTTGTACTTGAAATAATATGTTATACTAACCTTTTTGTCAGTATAATTATAAAACTTAAGTTTTTTTAAAATTTAAACTTTATATAAAACAAAAGGCCAAGGATGTTTTGGTTTTAGTCAGCATTGTTTTAAAGTTAGGATGGTTAAGGGGAGATCTTACAATATAGTTAAGTGGGGCGACCCCTGAAAAATGTTGACAACCACTGTTCAAGAAAATGCACTCTATCTCTTCATCACATTCCCTGGCAGTAAACTCCGGCGGAAAGTTTTGGGTGTTCGTCCACCTCTGGACTTCTTTTAAAATCTGAGTGTTACGTGCCCACCCGTTTCACAGATCTGGCTTATTGTATGAAGACTCTTCATTCCTTGCCTCTCAGGTAGATGTACTCTCTTCGAAAGATGCCCTATTTAGTTGACTTCCTACAACATGCTTGTTGGGGGAGGCAGTGGATCTCTTCTTCTTTTCTCCACAAAGGGGCCTCAGCTACATGGGGATATTCTTCACCAAAATTGATACTAACTGTTCAACACAAGTTATCATCAAAACTGCTTTGGCAAGGTAGAATGCCAGCTTAGGTTGACAACAGAATATTGTGGAAACATTCTTCACTTCTCTCTCTTTACTGCAAGTGTTTACCACTTTTTAGGGTGTCATAGGACAGGATGGTCTGAAGACTGAGTGATGCAAGACTAGCTCAGGCCCCATAAATTTTTTGGATTAGGATGTTAATTTCTGCCCCGACAGAAACATTTCCATCACTTAACCAAGCATTCAATTCCAGGTGTTCTGAGTGACAGCCTTATATTCTAACCACCTCTCTTTGTAGATAAATAACCGAGAATACAGCCAACTATAAATTAAAGAACTTCATTGAATAATATTAAACAGATTCATTAATTCACAACATTTTTGATTCAAGTTAGATAAAGCATGAGAAAACTAAATTCCATCACCATAATAAATATAAAATTATGTCAAATATTCTCGTTTTTCTATCGTAGATAATCCCATATTGTCAAAACAAAAGCAAGTCTAACTGGTAAGTTAGCTGCTCTAGCATGAACAAAAACAATTTTCAATGACGAGATGATTATCTATGTGTAAACACCCAGAAATTTCATTTTCAAAGTAGCAAATATACAAGTATACTTATCCGTATGATACATAAATAAAATATGCAAAGTGGGTATCAATACCTGCACTGAATATATTATAACTAAGTTCAAATTGTCTAAAAGCTCTGGCCATAAATGTACCAACATGCAGTTCTCAGATCACACAGGGTGAAGTACAAGTATCACCAAATGTTAAACAAACAACAGTTAAGTACAGAGTCTGGATCTCAAGTTAACTGGATCCCAAATTATTGTTCTTACAAACATCAAGGTAGGACATCAGGCTGCACAGAAAGTAAACAAGCAAAGGACCCTTTTCCACACCTTCAGGTTTATTGGGCTAGACCTATATTTTATAGACCAATAAGAACTTAGTGGGTCGACATCACGCCAGCTGTCTTTACTTCCCAGGACTCTCTGGTACCCATTTAAGGTTAGGTCAACATGGCAGCCAAGGTCATTTTTGAACAAAGGTCCAGCTTCATCAGGGCTTGAACCTATGACCTTCTGAGCGTCTAGCCACTAAACCATGGCAGCTCCCAGGCTGTATAGAACTGGCCCCTATCTATGAAGCTGTCTGCTATAAAGGCAGAGATTTATATTGTTGATCTCTGGGGTAAGAAGTACCTACTATAAAAGTAGAATTGTTATTTACAGATGACTGGCTTAACTAAAAGAGCAGAGTTAAAATGGCACCCTCCACCCCCCGAAGAAAAGGGTACAGCTGTATAAGTTAGACCATAGATCAAATAGCTATATTTAAAAAAATGACCCCTTGCATAAATGTTACTCATGACTGACCCACTAGATCAATAGCACAGTGAAATCATCCTGGCTGTATATGGTTATAGAGTTAGCCTCTACTATGAAATTATAGTTAGGATAAAATGCATAACTGTATACAGAACTGACACAATAGACTGTGCAAGTAAAGTTATATATAGGGAGCTATGGCAGAGCATTGACTAGTCAGCTTTCCTGTTGACCTGCTGGTCATCTGTTTGAATATCCCTTGAGGCTGGCACTTTTTAAAACTGACCCAGCTCTTATGGCCACATGAATACTAGAAAATGTTCTGGGAAGCAAAGGCAGCTGGTATGATACTGACCACATTACCAAATGAGCATCAATTGTTTATTAAAATATGAAGCTAGCACTAACATGATTCAGGATATGGAGAACGGTCCTTCACAGCTAAAATGGGACTGGAGCTGCAAACAAGCTTCATAATACTGGGTTGCCGGGTTTGATCCTAGCTGCAGTCAATTTGGCAGCAGATCACCTTGCACAAGTTTTGACAGTGGTATTGACATCTGACTATTCAGAAAGCAATGACAACAACTGAGCGTAAATTTGCCTAGAAAACCTGCAACATCCTGTAAAGTACAGGCAAACTAAATTGTATGGACATCTAGACAATTATATGTAGAGAACAGAGATGACCCAGAGAAAAATGAAATGACTTTAGCAGTGCTGACAGCACTGAAAACAACAACAACAAAACTGACATGAACATGACAATATAAATCAAATGCTATTCAAAAACATAGTAGGCAGCACCACCGGCAGGGATAGTGGCAAATAATGCTTCCTTAGCCTTGGCCATTTTTGCTGGGTTGGGTTTGTAGTAATCATCTCTGACACCAGCCAGCAGTGGAACAGTGGACTCTGTTCTCACAAGAGAAACAGTACACCCACCCCAGCCTGCACCTGTCATTCTTGAGCCAACTGCTCCATGTTTTCTAAAAAAAAAAAAAAAAATATGGTGATTTTCGAACAATTCTAACATGTGAATTTCTGTCAGCAGAAGAGAAGTATGGTGATTTTCAAAAATTTCTAACATGTGAATTTCTGTCAGCAGAAGAGAAGTATGGTGATTTTCAAACATTTCTAACATGTGAATTTCTGTCAGCAGAAGAGAAGTATGGTGATTTTCAAACAATTCTAACATGTGAATTTCTGTCAGCAGAAGAGAAGTATGGTGATTTTCAAACAATTCTAACATGTTAATTTCTGTCAGCAGAAGAGAAGTATGATGATTTTAAAAAAAAATTCTAACATGTGAATTTCTGTCAGCAAAAGAGAAGTATTGTGATTTGATTCTAGCTAGTTCAGTTCTATTGCAAGAAGACAATCAAAGTAGTTTTAGTTTAAAAAAAAAGCTTACAATTAAAAGGGAAATGGTTTTCTTCTTTCTTCTTCTTAGTGTTCACCGACTGTAAAACTCCAGAAGAGTTCTGGCTGTTTGTCCATTTTTGGACTTCGGTCTTGTTCCAGAAATTGAGTTTTGTGTGTACATTTGTTTTAAAGATCTGGCTTATATGTATGCAGACTGTTGGTTCCTCACCCCTCCGACAGACGCACTCCAACTTTGAAGGATTCTTCCCTAACAAGTCACTGGGCACGACATGCTTGTTTTGGAGGCAGTGGGTCTATTCTTTTTCCTCCAAAATGGGGTCCCAGAGAAATGATTTGATTCTAGCGAGTTCATTTCTATCGTAAGAAGAGAATCAACATGATTTTAACATGAGCACATAATGCTAGCAAGGACATTTCTATCACAATAACAATCTGATTCTAACATGTGCACACAATGAAAAGAAAAATAGTGATTGAATTCTAGCATGTGCACACAATGAGAAGAAAAATAGTGATTGAATTCTAGCATGTGCACACAATGAAAAGAAAAATAGTGACTGAATTCTAACATGTGCACACAATGAGAAGAAAAATAGTGATTGAATTCTAGCATGTGCACACAATGAGAAGAAAAATAGTGATTGAATTCTAGCATGTGCACACAATGAGAAGAAAAATAGTGATTGAATTCTAACATGTGCACACAATGAGAAGAAAATTAGTGATTGAATTCTAGCATGTGCACACAATGAGAAGAAAAATAGTGATTGAATTCTAGCATGTGCACACAATGAGAAGAAAAATAGTTTTTGAATTCTAGCATGTGCACACAATGAGAAGAAAAATAGTGATTGAATTCTAGCATGTGCACACAATGAGAAGAAAATTAGTGATTGAATTGTAACATGTGCACACAATGAGAAGAAAAATAGTGATTGAATTCTAACATGTGCACACAATGAGAAGAAAAATAGTGATTGAATTCTAGCATGTGAATTTCTGTCAGAGGAGGAGAAAAGTTATTTAATTCCAACAAATGCATTTCTATGAAGAATGATTGGATCCTAGCAGGTGAATTTTTGGCTAGAGATGAGAAAAGGTGCATTTTGTTAAGAACATAAATAGTGATTTGACTCTAACATGTTCACTTCTATAAGAAAAGAACAACTGTGACATACAATTGCATACAAGCTACAAGGGAAGGAGACAGAGATATAGAGAAAGAAGGAAAGAAACAATAAAACAAACAAAATAACAGAATGTGTGTGTGTGTGTGGGTAAAAGAAAGACCAGAAATCCTGTCTAACCTGCATGTTTCGACTAGAATGTCCAGATCTGGGTGACTGCACTCATACAAGTCTCTGCAGCTGGCATGGCTGGCATTCATGAGCTCTCCCAGCTTCTCCAGGGCATCTGCCGGCTGATCATCACAGATAACCTTGAACTGCAGCACCCGTTTGGCTTCCCCGTACACATGACTGGCACGCTGATGCAGGTAGAAGTTTTCAACTGGAAACAAAAAGTGACAGTTATGTTCTCTTGCTTCTGCTCTGGGATGCTGAGGTGTTAAATCACATGTGATGACGCACTTGACCATGGCTCACACTGGTCAGGACCTGCCTACTCTTCTTCATGGTCATTCTAGAAACAGGATCCTAGCCAGGGGCCTGGCCAGTATAGTCAGAGTGTATCTGCCTGAGAGGCAAGGAAACAAAGTCTGCACACAAAGAAGCCAGATCTGTAACACACAAGTACATGTAATATTCAAGTCCTGGAACAAGACCAAAGTCCAGATGTGGATGAACACCTAATAATACTCAAGTCCTAGACCAAGATCAAAGTCCACAAGTGGATGAACACCTAAAAATTCTCAAGTCCTGGAACAAGATCAAAGTCCAGATGTGGATAAACACCTAAGAATTCTCAAGTCCTGGACCAAGATCAAAGTCCAGACTTGGATAAACATCTAAGAATACTTGTCCTAGACCAAGATCAAAGTCCAGACTTGGATAAACATCTAAGAATACTTGTCCTAGACCAAGATCAAAGTCCAGACTTGGATAAACATCTAAGAATACTTGTCCTGGACCAAGATCAAAGTCCAGACTTGGATAAACATCTAAGAATACTTGTCCTAGACCAAGATCAAAGTCCAGACTTGGATAAACATCTAAGAATACTCAAGTCCTGGAACAAGATTAAAGTCCAGATGTGGATGAGCATCTAAGAATACTCAAGTCCTGGAACAAGATTAAAGTCCACAAGTGGATGAACACCTAAGAATTCTCAAGTCCTGGAGCAAGATCAAAGTCCACAAGTGGATGAACACCTAAGAATTCTCATCCTGCAACAAGACTAAAGTCCAGATGTGGATGAACACCTAAGAATTCTCATCCTGCAACAAGACTAAAGTCCAGATGTGGATGAACACCTAAGAATTCTCATCCTGCAACAAGACTAAAGTCCAGATGTGGATGAACACCTAAGAATTCTCATCCTGCAACAAGACTAAAGTCCAGACTTGGATAAACACCTAAGAATTCTCAAGTCCTGGAACAAGATCAAAGTCCAGATGTGGATGAACACCTATGATTTCTGCTACAGTTTTTGCTGGTGAACACAAAAACTCAGAAGAAGAACAAGCTTACATCAAAATTGTAGAAATTGTAATTGTCAAAACTGTAAGACATACAGTTGTATAAAGTAAAAATCAAGCAAAGGACACTTTATGATGAGAAGTTTAAGAAATATGGTGCTAGTTTTATAGTTTTAAACTAATTAATCAAATGTACCTCAATAAATCAAGTGGTGAATATCATAATATCAGTCACCTTTACTAAACTTTCTCATTAATTTTTAGGCTGATTTTCTGATTTGCTTTGGACCACAGATCAATAATAAAAGTCTAGGCACATTCAAACACAGTACATATGAGTAAAGCACTATATCTCAGTTACACCACAGTTGAAAGTCTTCAACCCTTTCATCCTGGTAGCCTAGAAAAAATAAAAGCCAAACTCCAATATTTTCCAATTTTGAGATATTCCTGGACAAATGCTCAGAGAAAAAAGACAAACATTTTACACACCCCAACAAAAATTGCAAACAATCAATTTATAACACAAAACATGAACAAATACTACAGACAGTAAAGGAAGTATTCAATAAAGATGAACAGAGTACAGAATCAAATCCCTTACATCACTTGGGGCCTGTAAATTAATTTTAGTGTGACACTTACTCGACCTGTTACCGGGTCGCCTGGTAACCACTGCAGCCAATAGGTAAAACATGCTTAGACATTTCTTTAAATTAAGCTATTTTCTTAAAAGGAAACCCTCCTAAATGCTATTATTTCGTACATTTAGTCACCCTTCAAGCTGAATGTTTGTGCAGTATTCTTTTGGCTAGACGTCTCGTATGCATGCCTACTTAGTGAACCAGGAAAGCAGCTTTTTGAGGAAATGGAACCATCTGGAAGTATGTATTAGTTTTGTGGCTTCTGGGGGAGGGGGGGGGGGGGGGGGGGGGGGGGGGGGGGGGTTCAGAAGGGTTCATTTTGTTTAATCAGAAAGAACATTTAAGTCTGAATGAAAACATACACACCATTCCGAGTATTAGCGCTAAGACTAGTTTCTGCAAGCTCCTCCGGACTGACATCCAGTATCTTGCACACTTCTTCTTTGCTGTATGGTTCGATGTGCAACTTTGAACTGACAAGCTCTAACATTTCATCAAGACTAACTCCCAGCCTCAGTTGGAGTTCTCCAAGTCGCTTGATCTCCCTCCATTTAATGTCGTCCTGAGACTGGGCTAAAATCTGACAGGCCAAGGAAAATGTTAATTTTCTAATGTTTATTTTATAATAATTAGGAGGTAAACAGCCATTTTACTGTGATAATAACTTCACAGGTATAGTTTAAATTAATACAACAGTAGGAAAACACAGCACCATTGAAAAATAATTACACTTTTTTGAAACTAAGAAAACAATACATAAATCTAAATGGAATATGAACTTTGCACATAGCAATTAGTAAACAAAACCGATAGACCAATTAATTTGAATTGATGTAAACAGCACTCAGGACACTATTACATGTGTTCTGTCTCCCTCAGCAGATGCTGGAGTGTATCTTGTTGTTACATTTGCCCTCAGTAGATGTTGGAGGGTATCTTATTGTTACATTTGCCCTCAGTAGATGTTGGAGTATCTTATTGTTACATTTGCCCTCAGTAGATGTTGGGGTGTATCTTAAATTTACATTTGCCCTCAGTAGAGGTCGGAGGGTATCTTATTGTTACATTTGCCCTCAGCAGATGCTGGAAGGTATCTTACTGTTACATTTGCCCTCAGTAGATGTTGGAGGGTATCTTAAATTTACATCTGCCCTCAGCAGATGCTGGAAAGTATCTTACTGTTAGTTGCCCTCAGCAGATGTAGGAGTGTATCTTACTCTTACATTTGCCGTGAGCAGATATTGGAGTGTATCTTACTGTTACACTTGCCCTCAGCAGATGTTGGAGTGTAACCTATTGTTACACTTGCCCTCAGCAGATATTGGAGTGTATCTTACTGTTACACTTGCCCTCAGCAGATGTTGGAGTGTAACCTATTGTTACACTTGCCCTCAGCAGATGTTGGAGTGTAACCTATTGTTACACTTGCCCTCAGCAGATGTTGGAGTGTAACCTATTGTTACACTTGCACTCAGCAGATGTTGGAGTGTAACCTATTGTTACACTTGCCCTCAGCAGATGTTGGAGTGTAACCTATTGTTACACTTGCCCTCAGCAGATGTTGGAGTGTAACCTATTGTTACACTTGCCCTCAGTAGATGTTGGAGTGTAGATAATGTATTCAGTATATGAAAAGACAGAAACTTTATGTATAGCATACTGTTTCATTTATGTCTTGGCAACAATGCTTTGGGTTTTAATATCCCTGTTGAGCAAGCAATTAACCCTTTCAGCCTTTTGACAGAAAAAAAGGTGAGTAGGTTTAAACTGACTTGCCTGCAATTTCGCATTGTCAGCTGCAAATTTTAGTGGAATGTCCTGTTTTCAATTCATTATATGTTCACCCTATAGATATAACCCAGATAGGCTGAACAAGAAATATGTTTGTAAATTACTGGCTGAACAGGATAGAGTCTATAAACTACTACCACGTGTATCTGACTGTTCTATCTGAACTGTTATTAGGAGTGCCTATACAACTGTGATTATGCTTTCTACTGACAATGGTAATGTCAGAAATTACAACAGTTAAATACCACATTTTCCTGATCCCTATTTTGTAGCCCAGAATTAGGAAATACATATTTTAATCACTTCCCATGTATAAGATCACCCTCAATTTTAAACTTAAAAATAAAAGAGAGAAGTTGGAAAAACATATCATCTTATCAAAGCAAATTTTTTCTGTTGTGAATATGAACAGAGAAGACACGAACAATAGATTGCACAATTGATTAAAATGAAGTTAATAAATGAATCTTTCAAACTAAAACTCAAAATCGACTACACTATAAATCTGTCTGTTTCATAAGGGTAAATGCAAGATGAAGAGCATGTCCTTTTGTCTGCACAATTCTGGACTAAACCAGTTTATCGCTGTCGCCTCCCCAAATCTCAATAATCTATGGTTGGCCGAAGTATAAATAACAACAGCTAAATATCACATTTTCACAATCCCTTTTATGAGGCCCAGTATTAAGAAATACATATTTGAATCACTTTCCATGTATAAGGCCACCCCCAATTTTAAAGTTGGAAAAACACATGATCGTATACACGAACAAAATGTGGTAATTAATAGATCACGGCAAATAAAATATATGGAGATAATAAAACAGCAAAAATATGTGTACAGTTAGGTGTTAGTTGATGAACTTCATAAATCTACTACATTATTTAACTCTTTCCCAAACAATACATGATGTGTGATTTACCCTTCCTGAATGTCCTAAATATTGTATCACGTGCACTCTTCCTGTATATGTTGGTCACGACATACTAAAGAAATCTGGTTACTTCAGTGGCAACTTCCTTTCTCATTCTCCAACAAACCATCTGATATGCAGTGGTTCTTTCCACTTAATTCTTTTGGAGGAAAAACATCTTAATTTTTGTACAAAGCTTTCAGGAACTGATAGAGTTAAGTATTTTCGTAAATATGTTGAAATTCTGATCATTTGATTTACTCGTATCCTGAATCAGAAATGTTTTTTCTGTCATATCATCATGTGACATGCTGATAAGTGTGGTGAAGTCCTAGTTCACCATAACACAATCACCAGAATATCAGATCAGGTCTGTGTTATTGTTTCGATTATGCCATTTGGCCAAACCATTAGGGTATTTATTTCTTTGCCTTAACCTTGCGCTTTTCCCATAAAATATGTCAATTGTCTCTAAGTATTCTCTGTAAACTACTGTAAATAACCTCACCTGTGCTGCTATCCGACACTCGACTACTCGAATATTAAAGTGAGGCGTGGCTGCCTTGTTCATTTCTGCAAGACTGTTGCAAACCACAAAAGCTGCGTTCAGTGGGAGCTGCACATCTGTTGTCCGCAGAGGATTAAAGTCTATCAGTTTGGCCTGGGTAGTGAGAACAATGTTAACATGACAGTGATTGGTTAGTGACTGGTTTATAAGAGAAGTGGGTACTTTTTTTTGTTCACCCCTTCTCAGGGACTCTGAGATTCTGTGTGTGGGGGGGGGGGGGGGGGGGGGGGGGAAGAGAGTTGGTGTCCATTTCACACCTTAACATTCCTATATTACTAGACTTTCCTGAAAAACCCACCAAATCTTGGAGCATCTAAGATTGTGTAAATTAAGAGAAAAGGCCCTGGAAGTGATATACACACACACACAAAAGAAATTAAATAAATAAATAACTTCCTAGGAGGTTAAATAGGGGTATCAGAGTTTAAGAAAGAGATGGATAAATGATGTAGCTGAAACCTAAATAACAAGCTGAATAAATCCTACACTCCAGCCATCTGCGAGGCACAAGACAAATACTGGAAACTCCAACCTTGGGTTACAACATGGTACCAGTGAGGTGATAAAAGAATAAGACATTGAGATTTCTGTTTCAAAATAAGACTAATAACTGAGACATTTTACTAAATATAATTTTTAATAAATATTATTTGCTATTATGTAATTTACATTTATGAGTTACAGTTAATGAGCAGCGACACCCAGTTAGCTAAGACCTGGGAACTCCTCTAATTTTCAAAACATACTGTGAATAAGACGAAGAAATGTCTCTAAAACCTAAACACTGAAATTAATGCCTGCAAGTCTGGTGAGCATACATTTAGCCCATATCTGTTTTCAGACTTGTCCCAGTGGCATACCTGGCCAACCAGAACAAGTTGTCATAATTTCATATAGCTTGTAATGTCACAAAATTGCTGCCACTTACCTTTCCTGCCTTGGCTGTGAAGCTGATGGCCTGGTCCATACCGCCTCCTTCTGTCCCTATGTATCTCTCACATTTTGCACATACTTCAGATAGTAACTCCTAGATTTGAAATATTGTAATGTTTTTAGCATAAATATATTTGTTTTTAAAGATAGCACTCATGTTATTATTTTTCAATGTGTTTAAAGAACTAATTACTGTATGTAATCATATGGGAGTGACCAAATGGGTAGAAAGCATTCAAAAGTTGCAGTTAACCTCCACCATCTGGATCTACACACTTAGTCACATGGGAGTAAATGGTAATGAAAGAGCTGACCAGTGCAAGCATGAAGAAGCATGGACAGAATTGATATCATTAACATTGTACGGACTAAGCTGGGGGATAATGGTGAATCTCATATGTTAACATGATTACGTGACCGAGGTGTTAAAGCTTGGTAAAGCAAATCTACTGCTGAACTGCAACACTGAAAAACTGTTCATGTGACTATAGATGGATCAAAGTTAGAAATTATTTTATCAGAGAGACTATAGGAACAACAACATGCAGCTAATTCATTGAGAAATAGAAGATCGAATGGTTTGGTCATCTAGTCAGAATGCAACCAGATTAACTACAACGCAGGCGCTGCACATGGAAATATATGAAGTGAAACCTAGAGGCTGCCTTAGAAAAAAAATGGACCGATCGATACGGAATGACAAAAGCCATTGCTGCCCATCAAGCAATGGATCGCAAACTGTTACTCCCCACAATGCTTAATGACAGAAGTGGAAATTGATAATGATGATGATAACGCATAGATCAATTACCTAATTATTAACCGAAGCAGCACAACAAATTTTAAAAAATCAAATTGCTCTTACTTTTGTCATAGTCCAGCCATTTGCCTTCAGCATTGCAAGTGCAGCACAACAAACAAGAGCACTGGAGCTAGACAAACCAGCACTTCGAGGGATTGTTCCTTCTACCAAAGCTTTAAAGCCTTTAGTCTCTGAACTACAGAACTGCTCTTTCACACCTTGAATACCACACAGGACATACTTATACCAGTGTGGCTCATCTTTAGTGATCTGAATTGTCTTAACATCACCCACAAATTCACTGATGAGAAAAGAATGAGGAACAAACTTATTGACTGTACAGTTCAAATACTTTGAAGGGTCAGGATATTACATAATTAACTAAAAATAACATGCACAAAAGGGGTCTTCTGAAAAAAATGGTTCTTCCAAAGCCATTCAGAGATTATAATTTGCCCATTGCCTTAATTTTAGAATTTAAAAAATGTCACTGGGTGATGCTGTAAGCCATTCATATATTTAGACCCCAGGGAATATGTTCCATTTAATTCTTCTCTCTATACCTGTTTTTACTTAATATATTTCAAAATATGAATTTTTTTCAAACAGATAAATACATTTTGAAAACATTTATTTTTCTTTTTCTGCCTTTCTAACTCCCAATGGAGTATAGGCCCTCAACCAACTCCTATCTGTTGCTATAACAGGCAGCTCTCATCATGGATTCCATATCTGTTGGCCCTTTTTTAAAGGGTTCCATGGGTAAAAGGGTCAAGCCTGTAACAGAGGTGCAAACTCTAATAAATATGACTGACTCTCTGACAAGCAACTCACTATAAATTTCTCGGCCGCCCCCAAAGACAACATACTGCTCTCAGATTTAACTGCTACTAAACTCAAACTTTCCAAATTGTAAATTTTAACTTATTCTGTCTTTTGTCTCTTGTATAATTCAGTCAGACCTAAACATTTAATACATTTGAGTACAGCTTCTTAAAATAGAGCAAATTTAAGTAACAAGTGTCGGGGACCAAAATGGTTAACATGCGGATGACCCTGAGGACATTAAGCTGAACAGGTGCAATGAAATGTAAACTTTTCCCATTAGGTGCTAGCAAAATTTGATTCTTTACTGTTTCCAATTAAAATAAAATACGAAACTGGGATAAAATTTATCCGTTGTGAATATTTATTTTTATAAAACATTTTTCTTACATACTTAACACATGAGTTTATTTTCAAGATAACTACCCAAAAAAAAAAAAAAAAACATTACAAATTAGGCAAACTTAAAAATTGGAAGATATGATAGTAAGTTCATTCTCTAAATATTTTGGTGAGCTTACTATTTTGAAATATCATGTATTCAGCATAATCAATTGAAGTAGCAATTTTTATCAGTAAATCAATTTACTGTTTTTAAGAGAAAAACCTCCACCGGTAAACTCACTCATACTGATGATCCGAGTTAACTAAAGAAATGGCCCCACTGTTGTCTGGTAGTACAGCCATCACAATATCTTGTTCTATAGCCATAGGTAGCACAGAGTAGCCGCAGTAATCAATGTGTTCTCCTGCAAGAAATCAATAATTACATACTTTTGGCATCATTATTATATCACATTACAATACTGGGTATTTATAACATGAACACAAATCTCCTGCAGCATTCTTCTTCTTCTTCTGAAAGTCCAGGCTGCGGTAGTCATGTCCATCCACAACCTTCTGCCTCAATTACTTTCAATCAACTCTGACACAGATGATCTTCCATGTCACGATGTCAAACTGTCCAGCATCTGTTCTCTTGGTCTCTCTCTGCCTCTCCTTCCCTCCAACTTTCCTAACGCCACGATGTACTCCAGTTTTCTCCTTATCACATAAACAAAGAATGTAGATTGTATCTTTCTGATGTAGGCAATCAGTTATCTTCGTGAGTCAGTTTCTTTGAGGACGTCTTGATTACACTTTTTAATCTGTCCAGGGTATTCTCATCATTTGTCTATGAAACCACATCTCTGCAGCTTCCAAACTAGTTTTCACTAATTTAACCGCACCAGGACATCACACAGCCCAGTTTAACCCATAAGATTATAATTTGGGCTCCCGACCACATCCTGGGTGGGGTTTCAAAATAATGAAAAACTGACCGCACGGGAACGGAGTGTTACAATTCAGTATCAATCACCAATAAAATAGTAGTTCATGATCTCATCAGCCATTTTCTTAGATCGAGAAAAGAGAATATATTTATATTTTTTAACTAACCTAAACATATTTTTGACAGGATTTTTTTCTACAAATTCTGCTCCCAATTAAACTAGACTCATAAAAATTGGTACCAGATTTTTTGGGGTAAAAAGGTAATGTGGCAGAGACTGGTCTCTCCACCTTTATAAGGGCCCTTTCTCATGTTGTCAGGTGTATTGGGTATTTGCGCTATACATATGTTTCATAGACCGACTGGTAACCGGTGGGTGATGTGGTCTACATCATGGTGGCCACCTTTACTTCCCAGGACTTTGCCTGGCACCAATTTAAGGTTGGGAGGACCTGAGAGCCAAGATCATTTTTGAAAAAACAGGCCAGCTCAGTTCAGAACCCATGACCTTCCCATTCGCAGGCGAGCATCTAGCCGCTACACCACGGTACCCCACCCTTTCCACTTTATTTATTGTAGGCTACAATGTGTGAAGAACTAACACTTGCACCCCAATGGCAGTATCTTCTTTGTGACCACCTTGAACCTGCACACTAGTAGGAATTCTCATCATCACGTACTTTACCAACTGGGATGGGTGATCATACCTCTCCACAACCTGCAATCTCCAATAGCATGAATCAGTTCCTGTACAGACACCCCTCCATGCCATGACAAAAGACTGTTAAGAATCTTCTCACATTGTCTTCCTCTGTCTCTCTTTCCACTGGTCACTACATGTTCGAGTTTCCCTCTTCTCGTAAAAAAAAAAATGACAAAATGATGAATGTCTCCTTCTGATGTATGTGATATGTTGCCTTTTGACCCTTGCCTCTTTCAAAACATCTAGGTTGCACATTCAGGCTGTCCGAGGAATTGTAAACATGTTTCTGTAAAACCACATATCTAAGGCCTCAAGAATTGTTGTAGTGATACTAACCGATTAAATTGACTCTGCCTGGTGCTCTGGCATAAAATGCAGGGTCATCATGAAAGTGTTCTCTAAACTTGGCCCTCAGACTCTGATATCTGTGTAAACAAGAAACTATCAGTCTGTGTAAACAAGAAACTATCAGTCTGTGTAAACAAGAAACTATCAGTCTGTGTAAACAAGAAACTATCAGTCTGTGTAAACAAGAAACTATCAGTCTGTGTAAACAAGAAACTATCAGTCTGTGTAAACAAGAAACTATCAGTCTGTGTAAACAAGAAACTATCAGTCTGTGTAAACAAGAAACTATCAGTCTGTGTAAACAAGAAACTATCAGTCTGTGTAAACAAGAAACTATCAGTCTGTGTAAACAAGAAACTATCAGTCTGTGTAAACAAGAAACTATCAGTCTGTGTAAACAAGAAACTATCAGTCTGTGTAAACAAGAAACTATCAGTCTGTGTAAACAAGAAACTATCAGTCTGTGTAAACAAGAAACTCAGTCTTTGTCATTTCGCTTGTGACCATTACTTAAAAGAACGGCAGCAAGACAAGTTTTTAAAAAGGTACCAGAAAAAAGAAAATGCATGTTATGTGTCTTTTACATAGTCATAAAAACAAAAGGTGCAAATTATAAGGACAAATGTTTGTACATGTCTATAATGCACATAAAGTAAAGGAGATACTGTATTACGAGCAGGCTGCTGGATAAGCTGCTATTTTATGATAAAGTGGACATGGTGAAGGCTCTCCGGAAAAAAAGGGGGGAAAAGGGGGGTGGGTGGCGCGCACTTTACAAAACACTGCCCTGGAATCAAATGAACAACAATGCAATAGAACAGACCGAGAATTCATACACTGAAAGACTAATTGAGAATAAACAGAGGTTCTGGAAGAAATTCAGCACTGAGGGTGAAACATAGGTGGGCTTTTAATCTAGACTGCAGATGGAGCCCTTAGCATGTTGACTCTTCATTGTCTATTTTTCTTCTTGTGTTCGCTTTCTGATTTACACCGACAGACAGGTTCTTGTGATAAACTTGACTGTACAACTTTGCGTGTAGTGGTGACTCAGGGGTGGATTCTGTCAAGGCTCAGAACCCGGCACTGCATCTGCCTGGTGAAGCTCCACAGGGCGAGCACCAACATTAAATTTGTCTGACGGCTTAATCATATATATTTATATATATATATAGTGTGGGGTTGCGTAGTACTGTGGTTTTTTATCCACCTTCTGGCCCAGTATTTCCGACTTCAGGATCTCTTGAGAGGGAGAGAAGGCTCATCCCTTTGCATTTACTTCATTTGTTGTCCTATCCAGTTTCTCGCTGGGGGTTGAGACCCCAACCTTTAACTGGATTGCTAGGAAGAACAAGGTCTACCATGTGAAATTGAGGTAGGCTTGAGCAAGAGAGGCTAATAGACATTAAAAGTCTTGTATTGCACATCACTGCTCCATTAGGACCCCATCGAATACTGAAGAAGGGGATGGAGCATGTATGGGAATGTCAATTCTTGTCTGATTTAGAATCACCATTCTGTATTAAGAAATATAATTGCTAATTCTGTAATACAAGATTAGACTGGGAATTTTAGACATTAAGGAAGCAAAGAGTCCACTGAGAGTGGTAAGAGAACTGCATTAATAGGTAGTGAAACACAGGAAAAAACAAGAAAAGTTGGAATCAGCATCTCACTTAGTGAAACAAAAATATACAATCAACTGGCTAGTTAAATATTTAAAAAATGTGGCCACAAGTCAGATCCGGTGAGAACGATAACTGTGAACTTGGACAGAAGTAGTCTTCGAGTATTTGTATAGCAACATAGGTATCATATTAACAAAGTATGTTTCTTTTTATTTGTCTGAGTAATTTAATTGTGTTGTGCTGTTTATAGCAAAGCTGCTTTATTCGCACCTTTCTGATGACACATCTGACTTAAACATTTGTTGACTGGGTTAACTTGCCAGAATAAAGTATACATCAAATAGCAAATGTGCAAACAGAAATACTTGCTTTGTAGGCTACACATTCAATTTTATTGCTTAATTTTGTTTTATTTTCCGGCATAATTTCTGTGCTATATAAAAGTAGAGTTTCAAAGTGTAAAATATACAGCAAGTCTGCAGCATTCTAGCTGTTAACAACAAACAAATTCATTATAATGACAAACTGGAAATACATTTATGCTTATAGTGACAAAATAAATCATGTCAGTCTTCCCGGTTAACAAATAAATATAATTTGTTTTCAGTCATATTGTGTTCCATGCACAATGTTTGTGAAACAATCAACAATTCATACATATGTAAGTAAACAAATCAAGTAAAAGACACAGATTAAAAAAAAAGAATAAATAATTAGTAATTTTGAGAACACAAATCTCTTCAAACATAATTCTCACTGAAGAATTTATAATCATATCTGGCAACTAGTTTCTATGACAAAGTTACAAATACACATTCTTCTTCTGCCTTTCTATCCCCCAATGGAGCATAGACCCTCAACCGACTCACACCAAGTCGTTCTGTCTTTCGCTATTGCATGGAGCTCTCCCCATGTCCTCCCAATCTTTCTAACCTCATTCTCCAGCTATCTTCTCCATGTGTTTTTTGGCCTTCCTTTATTCCTATGCCCCTGTGGGTTCCGATGCAAAGAAATTACTTCCATTGTTTTCCCTATATCATAGAGAGTTCTAACATTCCAGGTGCCAATTCTGGAGGTTTTCCTAGCTGAGAGGAGGTACGTCAACGATCCGGACTCCTTACGGCTTTCTCCACACTGTGTCATACTTCTTCTATTTGAAGAGCCTCTCCTCATCTTGGTTGGCTGGATTTTACTTGCTTCTTTTTTTACTTATCCATGGTTGGTTGGTTTTTGTAGCTATGGTTTTTACAGGATGAGGTAGCCAACCTCAAGCCTAACCCTACCCTTAGTTGCCTCTTATGACATGCCTGGTAGGGTGGAGTGTCACTATTCTTTGCTTCCCGTGAGGGCCCTGGTGGCACACGGGCGATTAGTCGCCTTTACAAATACACATAGATTAATTTTAATGCAGCTAACCTCTCCTTCTTAGCTTCTGGAACAGCAAGTACAGGTGGTTCTGCCGTCATGGTGGTTTCAGAATTCTGAGGACAAAAATATGGTTTATTCATTCTAGTCTTAAAAGTCAGTTGTGCATCCTTTACAGGACATCACAAAACAACCTTGACATTTCTCAGCGATTTTGTTTGGTTTTATTATATAATCTTATGTTCAGTAGTTTGTTTATTACTCATCAGTGAACACTCATACTGTCGAGTAGTCTTCATGTATGCTAACATGATTTACGATTTTGGAAGTCTAAAATTTAAATAAAACATTTAAATACAAAAGACTGGTTATCACTAGAGACAGCATTGCAGATATAGATTTTTTCAAGCGAACGAATAAAACATGTGTTTATCAGATATATCCAAAGTTATGAAGTTGCGAAGTAGATTTGTTTCAGTCATTTGTAGAGTCAAACTTTGATGGGGGGTAGAAAGAATATAGACCTCACACAGAATACAACAATAACAAAGTCAGCTGGAACAAAGAGAATAAATATTAATGAAAAGGGCGACTTTCTTCAGTGTCAGTTAGTCAGGAACAAGGCTACAAACTTACAGGCAAAATGAGTGTTATAAAAACATTTTGTCTGAGGATACTAACTGTTTTGGGAAGTCATTTCTCTTTACCAAATAGTGGGGCTATCCTCCGAATAACGGACACATATTATGCGGCCAAAAACACACCCTGACAGGGCCCCAGTCACATGTAAATTGCAGACTTCTGGCGAATATACCACCACCGCCAAGAATATCTCCCACGCCGCTACGTGCGGCGCTAAACTAGATGGCTGGGACTCACGAGCAGCAGCTTCTGCATCTCCTGCAGCTTTGCTCTGAGTCACAGCAATCTAGTTTAGTCCCGCTCCGCAGGGAGATACTATCGGTGGTGGCGGTATAGTTGCTGGAAGTCCGCAATTTACACGTGACTGAGGCCCTGTTTTTTGCCCGCCATAATATGTGGCCGCTATTCGGAGGATAGCCAATAATGGTGCTCTGTTATGATGTTCCAAAAGTTTTTCTGGAACGAGATCTAATGTACAGATTGTGTTGATATTTTATTTATACATTACTAAGTGGGTCAAGTTCATTTGAGATTCATTTCAGATATATTTTACTGAGTTTTCCTTGAGCACTATGGTGGTAAGTGGACAAATTAATATTCCATTTCATTAATTTCTCTAAACATCTTGTCTGTTTATTTAACTACTAACACAACTTAGTTATTATAGCAGTATTCTAAAATTAATTCCTGGTCACTCTGATGTACAATATGTGTATGTTGTGTGGCAGCTGAATTAGTATGGTCTGTTTTAATATGTTACACTTGTGACATTTCAAAATTGCATCACCACCCCTTGGGCCTCTCATGCTAAAGCCCTTGGAAAGAGTTAATACTGGACTGCTCTGTTTCGAGAATACCAGTCATTCTGCTGTGAAACTTGATGTTTTCATATTACACTAACAAGCATGTTGTAAAAGCTGACTAATTAGGGGTGCTTTTTTTTTCAAGTACATCTGCCTGAGTGAGATAAACCAACAGTCTTCCAAATAATGATATGGCAGATCTGCAAAACAAGTGTGCACGCAAAACTCAAGTTCTGAAACATTAACAAGACCTGAGTTTAGAAGACAACTAAAACTTTCGCCGAAAATACTTTGTAACTTGAAGACATAGGAAATACGCCTGTATGTTCATCAGTTCATGCACAATACTAGGCACATTAAGAATACCCTGACTGACTTTCTACTCCACCAGGACATCACACAAGCGATAAACATCCGATGACACAAAGTGCCACCATGTGGGTGAGGATCACGGTGAAGAGGTCCCAGACACCTCGTTTAGCCATTAGGCCACATTTATGGCCTGCCTATATTGCGGCCCCCGGCAAGAGCCAGGGTCATGATCATCATGTAGCAGGTCCTTTGCAGAACGTCGCTCTCATCACAGTCTGCCTGAAAGAAACTCGGTCTCTCGCCAGTTCTCCCGCCTCATGAACTTTCACACTCAAGGAGTCACTAATATCCTGTGCCCATCTTCGTGTCGGTCAGCCCCTGCCCCTCCTTCCTGGTACCATGCCTTCTGCAATAATTTTTTCCAATCCGTCGTGGCGCTTGATATGACCAATATTTTTCAGCGTCCAAGACAGGATGCTGTTTGTTAGCCAATCTACCTTGATGTTCAGATCTTTTAAGATGTCAATATTTCTCATCTTCTTTGTCCAAGATATTCTGAGAATCTTTCTATAGCATTTCAGCTCAAAAGCCTCTATTCTCTTTCTTAAGGACTGAGAGACAGCCCACGACTCACATCCATATGTAGCCACAGGGAAGATGCATGCTCTCAAAATTCTAATTTTTATCTCCTTGCTGGTGCTTAAACATAGACTTTTAAGGCTGTTCAATCTTTGCATTGCTATGGCCATCCTCCTTTTAATTTCTGTCGAACAGTCTCCATTGTTGTTTATTATAGAGCCTAGATATTCAGTTTGTGACATTTTCAATTTCTTCATCATTTATTTTTATTTTTGGGTGACAGCCAGTTTTATCTGTGGACATTATTTTCGTTTTCTTTAAATTCAAGAACAGATTTTGATCTTCACTGTGCTTTTGGACAGACTATATTAAATTTTGTACTCCCTTTACGCTGTTTGAAAGGAGGACTGTGTCATCTGCGTAGCGGAGTTCCAGAATAGGGTTGCCACCAATTTTGAGCGGATCATAACTGTCACAAGTCTGGTCATTTTTGACATTTCTCATTATATTTTCTGCATATAGGCCTATATTGAAAAGGTATGGTGAGAGAATGCACCCCTGCCTTACCCCCTTTTGCACCTCGAAGCAATCAGATGTTTCACCAGCTACTCTGATGGCTGCTTGTTGTTTCATTTTTGACTTCCATGGTAAGTTTCTTGGGATAGTAAGAGCCAGGGTAGGTCTTCAAATAACGAAAAATTTCATCGTAAAAAGGACGGTGAATGATTTTAGTAATATATACAAAGAATACCCCGAATACTGACTGTCTATTTCTTCAAGAAGTTGGTTCATTTTTATAGAAAAATAAAAATGAATATATACAAAACAAGATTGCAATAATTAAAATCAGGCCATTGTGACCCACATCATATAATTGACAGTTTAATTTTTTATAGTATTTTATTTATGTATATAACTCTAATTAGTCGGCTCTGTGGCTATGTCGATGGGAACACTTCGTAATGCCCGGTTGGATCCCAGCTGCAGGCCATGCACCTTGCGTTGGTTTCGACAGTGGTATCAGGGGGCCGACCGTCCAGGGCAATGGCAAACTACTGGACGTAAATTTGCCTAGAGAAACCACACAACAGCCAGGGGCTGCTGGGGTTGGTTCTGCAACGTCCTGTAAACTAACCTTTATGCCTCAGCAGTGAAATAACTCTAATTAGGCTAAGGGTCCAGGGCGGACAGTTTGGTTGATTTGGAATTAAACAAAAAAGGTCAAGTTACAAATTTAATTTGAACTAAATTTTTTTTTTTTTTTTAATTGTAACTGACTGATATTCATTGCTGTAGAACTAGAATTACCGCAATTGTTTGTACATTTGTCGAGAACTAATAATACTGGCTTAGGTTACACTTATTTTGTCCCAGAGACACTTGAGACAGGAAATAGGCCAAATATATACCGAACGGTCATAACTAAATTTATAAACATAAATGTTATAAATCTTATGTGGCAACACGTGTAAACAAAAAAAATAATTTTGGATCCTAGTGAAGGACAAGCCCACATGTTTACACAGTGTGTACGTGGTTCATTTGTCGCTTTCTGAACTGATAATTTAATTGTTCTCGTCTCCTTTCTTACCGACTTTACTATACAACAATGTATCCTGTGCAGAGACAAGTTACTGGCAGACGAGCTGTTCTCTAGGAGACTACAGCCACAAACTCATGCGAGCTGTCACGTGTCCGCTGACTGGTCATGTGACTCACCTCTGCCGGCCGTGAGACGGTCAGAAACCAGGGCTGCCAGTACTTGTGTTTTTTGCCCCCAAGATATGGGTTTTTATTTGGCGCCTTATGCTCAGATTTTTTAGAATCTTTGTGTTTTTATTTTTTATAAAAGTGGGTAAATATTCGTTTCGTAGCTATAACAATTTACTGTTTCCCATCCTTGGGTTTTTGTTTTGTGTTTTTTGCTTAAATATTGCTTGGGTTTTTTGATCAGCTGAGCTTGGGATTTTATGAAAATCTCTTTGGCAGCCCTGTCAGAAACTGAAATCTAGGGTCAGACAAAGGATAGCGTGTGTAAGTGCCTTCTTCAAGGCCTCAAAATTTAAGACAAAGTGGGGAATAATGTCAAGCGAACGACAGAGAGGAACAAATGCAAAGTCTAAACAGTCTGTGACCAGAATAGAAATTCCCACATAAAGAATCGATATTGCAAAGTACTGCAATTTTAGCTTTTAAGTCAAGGCTATTCATCTGGCGGCCCCCGGGATTATAGAATTCTGTCAGCACTCACATGCTGCCATCCCTATTGGTTTATATTTACAGCTTTTACCACAAATAACCAAAACTGAGGCACTTAACTAAGTTTACAAGCTAGCTGCGTATCTTTTATAGGACCCTGCAAAACCAACCCCAGCATTTTTGGGCTGTTGTGGTTTTTCTAGGCAAATAAATGTACGTCCAGTAGTTTGCCATTGCTTTCTGGATGGTCGACTTCTCGATACCCCTGTCAAAACCAACGTAAGGCCTGCAGCTGGGATCAAACCAGGCAACCCGGCATTACGAAGCTCGTTCGCCGCGCCTAAGCCACAGACAATTAAGTTTACTTTGGGCCAAAATGTAGAAAATTTGGTTCATTCACGGGACAGTGACCCGAGCCCCAGAATAGAAAGATTCGTGTGTCACCTGTTAGTCCCACGTGAGAAAAGAACCCCTTTTCTGGGCGCTAGAAGTATAATTGTCCGGTCAAAACGAGGGTTAGACACCGTCACTGTTTTTGTCGTAGCGATTGTTTTGTTTCTGACAGA